GGCAGGCGGATGAATCCAAGTGTTCAAATTAATTGATGTAAAAACAAAACATCCCCTTTATAAGTCGCCTTTTTTTAATCCAAAATTTGCAATAGTTGGAGAAAAAAACCATCTTCACAGATCAAAGATCAATGCCCTTTTCCGGTCCATTTAAAATGAGGGGAAGAAATAGACTTTACAAACTAGAAGAAAAGAACAACTGAACACTCGTCTGTGCTTCACTGACAATTACTAAACCTCAACCTAAAATTTTTTTCAATTAATTAATCTTTTTGTGTAAGGTTTTGGTTGAAATGAAAAAATTAGTACCACGAGCGGGATTCGAACCTTCGGCTAAATAGCCGCTGCTCTCTGATTCTAAAAATTTTCTTATTAAAAATCAATTGAAAAAGGGCCTAAAGACACTACATATGGCTGTACAAATACCCCCGAACAAGTCAGCCATTTAATTGAATCTATAGGCAAAGTTTTTTTTTTTTTTCCAATTCCATTCCAAGTCTACCGAATAGTCCACATTTTGGAATGAACAGATTTTTTTTAAATTAATGAACTTTTTCGATTAAATTTGGGCTGAAGGTGAAAAGGTCGGACTTGGCCGTAAAGATAGAATACTTAATTTTATATTTTGATTTAATGCTTCATATACAAATCAATTGTGAAATTTCCACTTTGGGTCTGTAAGGCGGTGAGCCTGTAGTTTGGCCTTTCGAGTGTCCCAGGTTGAAGACGGCGAGAAGCCGGAACTCTTCTGACAGGCCAAGACGACGAGGATCAATTCTAGTAACTTGGTACGATTGTCAAAAGTCTCCTTTTTTCCTGACAAGGCCAAGTTTCGAAAAATCCTAAGAGTAGTCCATCGGGTTTCATTTCAATTTATAAACATCAAATCTTGAAACCTTTAATTACCCATTGTCTGCAATAAAAAGAGAATCTCTTTTTTTATTTATTTGGGTGTCAGTTACGTCACGGGTTATAGGCGTCCGAGGAGTGGGCTAAGCAATGCCCATAATAGTACAGGAGTAGCACAGGGCTGATCCCACATATGGATTACCCACATGCCACCAGATGGTGGACTCCGGTCGTGCCCACTCGAAATATTTTAAACCTCTGTTGGAAAAACGGATCGGAAGGGCCGATACACGGTGCGAAGGCACCTGTAAGGAAAAGAGAAATTATGCCCGCCGGGTGAAACTATAAGGAGCAACTAACTGTAAAGAATTGTGGAAAGTACGTAATTGATTTCTTGAACACCTTGATCAAGAACTTTCTTCAAAACCAAGATCAAAAACAATCCAAGTAACGTTATTATACCTTATCATATTTCATTTGGTGAGTTATTGTCCAGACAAAGGGATTATTTCCAGTTCTAAGCTCATAATTTTTTCGTAAACCTTTAGAAAACCGTTTTTATCACGTGTATAAGAGCATTTGGTCTTTGTTAACATTACAAAAATTATTTCTTGTGTATCTTTATACAAGAAAATTTACAATAATGAGGACAAATAAACCATCACAGACGATGGAACTAAAAGCCACTCAACACCACATCTCATAAAATCTGAACTACCATAAAAGAATTCTCTATGAAATATACAGTGACTCACAGATTTCACAGATGTATACAAATTGTGTTATTTCATTATTTACTTTACAAAACAATTGTAGGAAATCAAATAAACGTAGTTTTTTAAATAATTTTATTTATCTTAACACAAAAAAACACCCAAAAAATTAAATTGATCCTTTATCATATTATTAAAATAATATAAAAGAAATTACCGTGTCTAAACGATAATATGATTGTGTCATAGAAAGTCCTTTAATATTTTGTATGTCCTCCTTTGGCTTTCAAAACTGCATCAATCCTCTGGGCATACTTCTCACGAGATTTCTGCACTGTTCTGGATCAATTAGGCCCCATTCAACTTGTGTTTTTTTCCAAAGTTGATCGACGTTTGAAGCGTCCCTTGCAGAATCGACTAAAGATCTTTTTAGTGTTTCCCACAAGTGCTCAATGGGTTAAGATCAGGTGACTGTGGGGGCCGTTCCATGACATTAAAACCACGATCGGCAAGCCACTGTTTGGTCAGCCTGGCCGTATGTTTGGGGTCATTGTCGTGCTGAAATAGGACCTCATCGATGGATTTGCCCCAATTTTCTAGGGATCTTAACAAACTGTCCTCGAGAATGTTAACGTAATTCACAGCATTCATTCGTCCTGATATTCTATGAAGCACTCCAACATCACTTGATGTCATGCAACTCCAAATCTTTATGTTCCCACCACCAAATTTTACATTAGGTAGGACCGTTCGAGAACTTAAGAGTTCTTTCTTTCCCTTCCAAACCCAAATTTTCCCATCTGACGCTACTCTGTTAATTTTGGTTTCATCAGACCAAATCACGTTATCCCACATTTCCTCTGTGTAGTTTTTATATTTTTTTTGCAAAATTCAAGCGAAGCAACTTGTGGCGTTTGGTCAGCAATGGTTTCTTCACTTTTCCCCTCGCTCTTAATCCGGCCTCACGTAAACATCTCCGTATTTTTTCAGCACTGACATCCATATTATCATTATCACGCAGCCTACGCTAAATTTGGGCAGCATTGTCAACCTCTCCTGATCGAATGGAGCGTATGATACAACGCCTTTTGGCCTCGGAAATTTTTTTTATGACCACTCCTATTCTTTTTAAAACAAGTATTGGAAATTCCGGAAGATCTTTCACGTTTTGTTATTACCCCAATAGAGCATTTATATATATATATTTTTTTTTTTTAATTTCACGATAAGGAAGTCCTTCTTGTAGAAATTTCATTATTTGATCTTTCAAAAATGTTGAAAATGGCTTCATACTGTAATTAAACGGAATAAACCAAAACCATTAAGGAAAGTAAGTATTTTCAATATGTGTGGTGATTAGTGACCGTTAATCGATATTTATTTAGAAATCGTGAGATGCGGTCTGGTGTGATGTAGGTTTCAGAAAAACATTTTCTTTATCGTGCCAACGTTTCGATCTTTATTGAGATCATCTTCAGGGCCNACCAACACACTTACTAACAAACTGCGGAGCTACATTAGCCCGCAGGAGGAAGTGTTTTGGGATGTACAATGTGGCCATAGAAGAGCTTCAACCACTGAAACCGGGCCTATTAATCAAGTTTCTTGATGAAATAGGACTCACCGATGTGCTTTAGGCAGAGCACGAGGGATACAATAGCTCTCAAAGGGCACAGTATACTATACCCTGAAATTACAATCTAATCTAATCTAAACTCTTTCAACCCACATGAATATTTCTCGTTACTTGGTGTACACCTTAAGGTCATCTGCTAAACCAATTGAAAACCTTTGAAAGGGCTTACAACATTATTTATAAATAATATAAAGAGAATATGACCAAGAATTGGTCCTTGGGGAACTCCAGAGGATGCAGTAAATTAATGAGAGTGATTCAAACTCTTCAACCCACATGAATATTTCTGGTTACTTGGTATATACCTTGTCATCTGCAAAACAAATTGAAAACCTTTGAAAGGGCTTACTACATCATTTATGAATAATATAAAGATAATATGACCAAGAATTGGTCCTTGGGGAACTCCAGAGGATGCAGTAAATTGATAAGTGTGATTTAAACCCACATGAACTTTTATGGTTGCTTGGGATATAATTAAGTAAATCTGCCAATAGAATTAAAAACCTTTGAAAGGGCTTGCAATATCATTTATGAACAGTATTAAGAGAATATGACTAAGAATTGGGCCTTGAGCCTTCTAGAGGATGCAGTAAACCTTGTTAGCCCACATGGACATTTCTGGTTACCTGGTATATACCTTCAATTTATCTGCAAATAGTTAAGTTTGAAAACCTTCAAAATGACTTACATTAAAATTTATAACTAATATAAATGGAATAGGACCAAGAATTGGTTCTTGGGAACTCCAGAGTTTGCTGTGAATTGAGAGTGATTTAATTCAATTTTAACTGGTAATGTTTGATTATTTAAGTAGCTTTTTGAAAATTTTCTATCTGAATTTAACAGATGTAGATGTATTAGTCAGGGTGTGATATACCGCGCCCTTTAAGAGCTATTGTATCCCCCGTTCAGTGACTGTAGCACACCAGTGAGTCCTATTTCATCAAGGAACTTGATTAATAGGTCAGGTTTCAGTGGTTGAATTTCTTCTACAGACACATTGTACATCCCAGAGCACTTCCTCCTGTGGGTAAGTGTAGCACCACAGTTTGTTAATAGGTGTGTTGGTGTCTCCTCTTCCTCTTTGCAGAATCTGCATCTGCCGTCCTGAGATATTCCAATCTTCTTTAAATGTCCATTTAGTTTTGCAGTGTCCTGTTAGGATTCGCAGTTTTTCCTGTATCCGGTACATTATGTTATTTCTTTCCTTCCAAAATTTGTTAGGTGGTTTTTGGATTGTTTGTGTCTAATTAGTGAATTCAATTGATCCTTCATTTTCTTGTTGTCCTTCTGGATAAGGTACTCATTGATAGTGTAGATTCCTATGCCACAAAAGGGTTCGGGTCCTATGAGCGGTATATCACCTTCTTTCCTTGCAAGGGTGTCCGCTTTCTCCTTGCCTTCTACTCCCATGTGTCCTGGGACCCAGCAGAGGCTGACGTTCTGCGTGCCTAATATGTTTAGTTTGGTTTCGCAGTTCAACACTATCTTTGAACTAATGATAATTGAGCTTAGTGCTTTGATGGCTGCTTGGCTATCTGACATGATAGCTATGTTCTTGATTTTGCACCCTTTAGACAAGTTGAGTTGATCTCTCGATTGCATGGACTTTAGCTTGGAAGGTACTATCTGAATTCGGTAAAAATCAATCTTTTTTGCATAGGACATAATTTTTTTGATAGACAATTTGAGCAATTTATATGCGGGCGTGTGAGTTTCCTGTTTAAATAAGAATCGATTGATTTGATAATCGATATTCGGTACTCGATCTCAGTATCGATAAGCTGTCGAGTTGCTGTTATCGGAAGGGCTGGTGCTCGCCTCGCACATTTGGGCTGGAGGTAACACGAACATCGTCCTCGCCGCTTGTCTCGGTTCCGTCTCGTGTCCGCGTCGAGTTTTTCATTCCGCCGAGTCGCCTTTTAAAGGTTTTATCCCCCGGGGAACGGGGTTCGAATCCGCCCGACTCATGCGATTTCCTCCGACCTCCTTTTATAAACGATTTTCGAGATGATCTGCGAGGCGGACGAGTTCAGCGAGATATTCAAAGGGGTTTTCCCTTATTATTTATTATTTATATTGCCGTTGATATTTATGATGTCGCCGGTGGGCGCCTCTCATGAATACCCCGTCTACAGGATGCATCAGTTCGACTTGCACGGAGTCTCGAGAGGTGAGCAACATCACATTTTATACACCGCCCTACTCGACTCGGCCCTTTCTCTTTTCCTCCCTTTCTCTTTGGACCGATTCCGTTTTACAAGAGAAAATTCTTTCTTCCACGTCTTTATCAAAAAATTTGCCGAGTCACGTTTGAACAAATATGAAACTGGATTAATCGACTGAAAAACAAAACAAAAAAACACCCGGCATGTGTCTCGATTCGGTCATTTCTTCTATTTGTCTATTTTTTCTTGCCGACCCGTTAAAAGTCTTCATAAGTAATTATCATCTTGAATAAAGGCACGCAATGAATTTTAAACGATAGAAAGACAATCAGCATTTTTGTTCCTGTTTTACATAAACACGTTCACTCTAGTTAGCCTCACTCAAGTTACCTACTATGATTTAAGACTCACTGATCAATACGACGACCATATCTGTAGTCTGATCATATCTGATTATCTTGGTTTGACTATCCTTGATGCTCTTGTCAGATAAAACGAACCATTGCTGATCATCGCAAAATAAGTCTGACAGAAACAGCGAGAATGGATGGCCGGGATCAGAAAGGCTTCATTCTAGTTCACCGATGCTTGTAGGATCACAATCTAAAGTCCTTTCTACAATCTGAGGTATTGTTAAGTTACAAGTTTGTCACTTGTAAAGAATTAAATGACCCACTGAACAATGCGACGACCATATCTGTAGTCTGGTCATTTCTGATTATCCCGGTTAGCCTATCCTTGCCGCACTTGTCAGATAAAATGAACCATTGCTGAAGATCACCAAATGAGTCTGACAGAAACAGCGAGAATGGTCAGGTTGGGATCAGAAATGGCCGTACAAATTTCTTACATGTTATTGCCTTAGCGAGAGATAAGTTTGCTCATTTCATTATAGTTCACCGATGCTTGTAAGATCACGCTTTAAAGCCATTTCTACAATCTGATGTATTGTTAAGTCACTTGTAAAGAATTAAACGACTCACTAAGCAATGCGACAACTATCTGTAGTCTGGTCATTTCTGGTTATCCAGGTTTGCCGCTCTTGTCCGATAAAACGAACCACTGCTGATCATCGCAAAATGAGTCTGACAGAAATAGCAAGGATGGACAGGCCAGGTTGATCATAAATGACCGAAGTTCAAGTCAGTCAGACGTCAGTAAGAAATATTACATGGAGTGTTTATCAATTAGCCTTTCTTAGGTATCATCTTATTTCTTATGTATTATTGTTTTACCAAACGGACAGTACTGTATCCAGGCTACCCTGGTGACATAAGATGTCATGACATCTCGACACGTATCTTGTCCATTTTTGTCATGGTAATTCAATGGGCCAGTGAAGATTTTCCTCAATCCTTGCCTGATGAAGAGAAAGATAGCTTACTTCTTCATAGAATCGAGCTTCTACGTTCTAGCATGCCCTTGGAATTTTCTTTGGTACTTCCAATGTATAATCCATTTGGAAAGGTTTTGTTATGTCTCATCATCTCGACACCCAATGGTAGTTGGACATAAAGCCCCTCCTTCACAACAGGATTTTTTTTCCTTTCATCCAATATACTGGTAATGCTACCGAATAATGGAAGGAATGAGACAAACCTATTTTGCCATTAAAGAATAAGTAAAAATTTTTCTCTTGATCCTAAAGAAATCAAGATTTTTTTTATCCTAAACATTACTTTGGCTATTTAAGTCAATAAAGTATCTCAAAATGGCTCTTGTTGAATTATACTACTAACCATGGCTAACAAGTTTTGTTAACATATTTGTTATTGTAGATTACAGGTTTATAGAGTTACTTAACTTATTAAAAAGATTCTATAGTTTTTTATTGTTATTTTTTCCAGGTTGCCGAGTATCTAGCATAAATTTAGAAGCTCGATCATTAACAACTTGGAGTACACAACGACATTGTGTTGTTTCGAGATTGACCAACTTGACGGCTTTGCATTTATACAAGATCAAAGAAGGCGCTGGCGGCCTTCTGATAATGCTGCCGAAACACTTAAACACTTTGAACGACGATGAGAAAGAAGTGAGAATTTTTCTTTTTTTTTAATATGCGTTGTGTGTTAATGTATAATTTTTCAGGTACTACACGCTTTTGAACACCAATACTTAGGAGAAGAAATTCACATTCCTGTGTATTTTGCGTCATATTCACCAGAATTAGAAGCAATTGTATCTGATATTGAAAGTAACAAGATATTAGAAATTCAAAAAAGCACTGCTTGGGATGGTAGATATTTTCATTCAATACAAATAACACTCGTCTGAAAGTAGTTGATACATTCCAATTTTTTTTTTTTTTTTTTTTTTTTTTCAGCAATACTGAATTCATTATCTGCAAATGGATATCAGATAGTCATTACTGCTAGTCGGCCTTCGGTTAAAACTGATGCACAGATCCTCTCCATGCAGGTATCTCTTTAAAAAAAATTATAAACTAAAATTTGTAGTCTTAATAATTTAAGGTCAAATTCAAAAATATTAAAATAAAATTTTAAAACATCAGCAATCAATCAGGGAATAACTTTTGGCCATTTATTTTGCACCTTAATGTGGTGCGTAAATAAATTCTTTGGTAGTGTGGTAATTTTTTTGTTTTTTAAAACTTCTCTTATTGTCTTATCTATCTAAGGTGTTTTGAAAGACTTCAAAATATTTAAAAATATATTCAAATTCTATTATTATTCAATAACAAGCAATGAAAACCTAATGATTCATTTTTGGTGGGGTGGCTGAGTCCGATTGTTGCTTCTTTTAAAGTTATTTGTTTAATTATTTTTACTAGTAATTTATCAGTAAATATTTCTTGATAACCATTGTTTTTAGTTGAGGTTTTAATTGTTTGTAATTCCTTTTTATAATTAGTAAGTGGTAATGGGAGGTTCAACATATGGTACATAAGCCATATGTCTGTTTCTTTATGGACAGATTTAAGTCTAAAAAGTTTAAAGAACAATCTTCATTTATTCTATGGTGCTCTCCCCGATCATATACATAAAATATCATCTACATAGCATTATCAAAAAAGGACAGATTAAATTAATTTGTTATTTGATTTGAAAAGGATTTTTTCAAAGTTATCCATTAATATTTCAGCACAAAGTAGGGATAATGGAGACCCCATTGGTAACCCTTTCATTTCATAAAGTTTTTTATTAAATTTACAATAATTAGATAGTAGGCATATATTTAAGAGGTCTATTATATCCAGTTTTCCATAAGTTTTTGTTTTATTAGTTTAGTAATAATAATACTTTATTTGACAATTATTATAAATAGCAAAACATACCCTTTTAAAAAATGTAAGTATTTACAACGATGGAATGTCTGTCTGCTTTTATTAGTTTAGTATATTCTTTAACAAGGATATTGTAAATAAATTAATAACATCAAATGCCACTAAATCACAGGTTAGAGGTATATTTATGTTCTTTAACTGTTTTATCAATTCTAAAGTATTGTGAATACCGAATGTAGGTTTGAAATTGATGTGGGTTTTAATTATTTTATCTATTGTTATCGCGTGTTAGTGGCATGGAGAATCATAAAAGGGCACTAAAGTACATTTGCTTAATTTAGCACATAAAGTACAATATATAATTTCAAATATAAACATACATATATTATAGCACCATTTTTTCCCCTCCAAACACATTTTGACATTCTTAATAACTAATTAAACCATATACTATATATATTACAATGCAAAAAAGAAATTACATTATTTATATTTACTTAAATTATTTTTATATACACATTATTGCAAATATTTACATTATTACAATGCTTACTATGATACTCTCCTTCAGGTATTATAATTATTTATTTTAAGAACCTTTTGTGTCTCTAAGCCATTACACGAAGAGTAAAATTTCAAAAGGTTAAAAAGTATAAACTTTCCCAGCCCTTGCTGTTCATTTATTGGATAGTTCTTCTCGTTACAGAACGCTAGTATTTAATTTTAATGTGAGGTCTTTTTTTTATTACTTTACAGTCATTATTGTTAAGGAATTCTTCAACTTTAGAAACGTATTTTTGATAGAAATGCTGATTGGTGGAGTGATTGATAGATTGAACGTATTCTTGGTGTTCAATGATAACTATACTATTTCCTTTTTCGGCTTTTAAAATAACGTTGTTACTTTTTAACTTTTTATCGATAGAAACCTAATTGTATGTGGGATATTTAATTTTTTGATGTTTAGATTTATCAAGTTTGGGTTAATTACTTCAGCACATTTGTATTTAATATTTGTATTTATTTAACTGCAATTAACCAATGAACCAAGGGATAGTAGTTTCATTGTATCTGGGTCTGTTTTCGAATCAAATTTTAAGCCTTTATTTAATAAATTGGTTTCTTCTTTATTTAGGACCGTTTTTTTTTGTTTCCAGTAGATTGGGATAAATTTGATTATGGTACATGGTCAAAAGTTAAATTTTTCATTGATTAAAAAAAATACCATGGATAAAAAAATTAAAAACATGAAGTACAGTACACTTAGAAATACTCATAAAGGTCAAACAACTCCAATATAAGTTTAATAACATGGTCGTAAATAAAGAAAAAACAATTTATTAAATAAAGGCTTAAAAATTTTTGTAAAATATCTATTAGCAAAGCATTTTATATATTGATTTCTGTCATTAGCATTTGAAAATAAATTCTGCTTATTATTGAAAACTTTTGAGTAAGGCATTGCTGCTTATTGCTCCAAAAGATAAGGCCAGATGATTCAGGATGTCATCCTCTTCCACAATGTTCAGCCATAACCATACATACAGCAGCTTATCACTGGTTTAAAGTTAGAACTGAAATGGACTCCACTTGCTGATACTTTCTATAGCCCTGACCTATTGCTTGGTGATTTTTGCCACTATGGACCCCCTTAAAAAAGCTATGGAGGGACAGTAATTCTGAGTGTGATTGGTTCTTTTTGAGCAACTAAGTCGTGGCACAACTCTGTTCATTTGATGATGCCAGGTCTAAACCTCCCAATTCACTGGGAAGAAAATGTATTTTCCGAGGTGAAAAGGTGAGGTTATTTTCAAAAATAATAGATTTGTTCCAACACGTTACAAATGCCAACTCAAACTGTTAGATGACTTTACTTTTCTTTTTTTTTTAATGCTCTCATGATGCATTGAGGTGCCATATCTGAACCACCAATTAGTCAGTTTCATGCTTTGAAGCCTTTATTGTACTTGGCTTGTATTAATAATAACTATAGTCATCATACCACAATTTTTTTGTGACAAGGATAAAGTATCTGTCGAAACAGATGAACGAACATTCAATTTGAACGAATTCAAAATTTGAATTCCTGGTCAAATGTTTATCCTCGATTTTGTGAAATGGGCAAAACAATATGATAAATGTCATTTTGTCTGATTGAGATTGATCTAGCTTCATTATGAATATATCTTTTACGTTATATCTTTTTTTTATTTTTTAGGGTAAGTTGATTGGATACGGTGTTCAAGACAAGCTGCCTACTATCATTATAGTTGCCCATTACGACAGTTTTGGAGTATCACCTGTAAGTAACTCGTATATTAGAAATATTAGTACCTAACTTTAAAAAAAAAAATTTAATTTTTTTTTTAACAATTGTTCATAGAACTTATTTACGTTTTTGTAGGATCTCTCATATGGAGCGGATAGTAATGCATCAGGCGTAATTATGTTACTAGAGTTAATACGCATATTTTCTCACCTTTACACAAATTCTTGGTCTCATGCACGGTTTAATATCATGTTCCTGCTTTCTGGAGGTGGAAAGATAAATTACCAAGGCAGTAAAAAATGGCTCGAAGACCAACTAGAAGGTGCAGAAGGTTCAGCAATCCATGTAAGAATAATTTTTTATTATATATTATTGTGACAGCATAATACAATTTATAGCACAACAAAAATAATTAAAATATTAAAATCGAAAAATCAGGGATAAGATCAGTCTTTAAGAAAAGAAAAACCTTCATCAAGCTTGTAAGGATTATATACCCTTCATCAGGTCTTTGATGCTATCATTAATAATTCACAAGATTAGCAATTATGAACATACACTTACAGTACTGAAACTTATTGTTTCAAAATACAGTGAAACTTTCCTTAACGGACAAATTTTGATTCCCCAGTGTTTCCCTATTAATTTCTTCACTTTAAAATCATCAATAAAATAGACACTCCCTATAACAGATCGGACAGCTTTTACTATTATATTCTGACTAAATCGCCCAAAAGTGGACAGCAGCCTCCTGAAAATGTGGCACTTAAAAAAATTAATATAATTAAAGTGAGTGAAAGTAAAAAAACTATGGATAGTTGGCTGCAAAGTTTTTCATCAGAAAGATCCAGGCCAGTGAATTTCTAAAGATTAAAAAGGAACCTAGTGATAAATTTTAACAAATACAGAAATGACTGATACCACAGATTTTTTAAAAGTCTGGTTCAGCCGTATACCAGGATGTATATGAATGGTTTTGTCATGCTTGCGCTTGTAACATACCACTTTCTGGTCCACTTATACAAGAAAAGGTCTTAGAAGTTGCAAAACATTTAGGGCTGATGGATTTTATAGCATCTTCAGGTTGGCTCGACAAATTTACAGATTTAGAAGAACACAGCATAAAATTTATTTTAAGACCATTAGTGAAGGAGCATCAGTAGACATCGAGGTTATCGTACAAAACTTGATGGAAAAATTTAAACAGTATTGCACTCATTTTGAACCCAAAATATTTTTAATTGCTATGAGACCCACCTTATTTTTTAGAGCAGGTAGTAAAATCCAAAGCCGTTTGAGACTGAGCTCTGTCAGTTATGGGGGATAACGACAAAATTACCCTTGTCCGGGTCACACAAGGCAGAGGGGCAGTGAAGAGGCCAGATAAATTGGTTAAGGGAAGTTCTATGAGTACACCAGTTGACCCTGAACTTTTTTTGGCATACCAAATGGCTAGGTAAAGAAGGGAGTCTAGCGAGTGGGAGGTTCCCCCTTGTCAGGGCGCCTATAAAAAGGTCCAACAACTGGGCAAGGTATGGAGAATGCTCTCACCATCACCCTCCTTATACCTCTCTTGTGTGTACCATACCTTTGACATTTACACCTTGGTCCTGGTCAGTAATACTTTCTCTCTAGTTTCCTACCCATGTACCATGTACAAACAAGCATCGACCTGCAGATGGAAGGAAGCCTGATGTCATCTGTTGGTGTGAGGATGGTAGAGAAGAAGCCAGCCCTGAAGGGCACACATAAGTGGCCTTAACAAAGCTTTGATATCTAGTAAAAAACATTAAGCTTAATCAATTCACTAATTTCGTGGTCCACTTGACCAATTAATATCTTACAATTAAATAAGGCTTTCAGTTGAGATAAAAAAGTCAATGGCACGAGCGGGATTCAAACCCACGATCTTCGGCTTGATACGCCGCTGCTCTACCACTTGAGCTATCGTGACCTCGATCCACTAGGACACCAACTTCCCACCTCAACCACACCTTTTGAATTTTCCCTCCTTTTTGCCATTTTTCAAATGTCGTGTAATCAAGTCGATTCTCGGCGACAAATGAAATGGCCACGGAGAGCTTTAGTGAAGGTATACTTCTTTTTAAACTTATTCAATTCACTAATTTCGTGGTCCGCTTGACCAATTAATACCTTACAATTAATTAAGGTTTTCAGTTGAGATAAAAAAGTCAGTGACACGAACGGGATTCGAACCCACGATATCCGGCTTGATACGCCGCTGCTCTACCACTTGAGCTGGGGGTTCGAATCCAAAGTCCCCTTTGGCCGACATTTTCATGAAAAATAACAAAAACATGTTTACAATTTCTCTATTTGGCATCAATGTTCATAGTGGGCAAACTGTTTAAAATGTATGCAAGATAAAATTTATGTATTCATGGTATATATTAGATGTAGGAAAATTTTTTAAAGTAAATAGTAGTTTTGTGTATTATAACAGAAGTTTCTTTTATTTTTGTTTCAGGATGCACAGTATGTCATTTGTTTGGACACGGTTAGCTCCAAAACTTTATATTTCCATGTTTCAAAACCACCTAGAGAAGGGACACCACTTTTCAGGTTTTATAAAGTTAGTATTTAGGATATCACGAGAAAGATGTGTCTGTGTGCGCACATACATGTGTGTGTGCGTGCATGTATATGAATACATAATAACAGTAAAAAAAAAATTTCAGGAATTCTCTAAAGTCACTTCAGTGCCTGTTGAATTAATTCACAAAAAAATTAACCTTGCCGATGAGATTCTCGCATGGGAGCATGAACGATTCAGTATTCGGCGTTTACCAGCCTCAACAATCTCATCTTTTAGGGTAAGACAGAAATTTTTACAATTTGAATGAAAAAAATATTTTTAAATTAAATGAACTTTTGTGCTAATTAGGTGCTTTTTGTCATTTTTTTTTTTTTTTTTTTTTTTTATAAACATTTTGTTTATGATTTAATGCCTTTCTTGTACAAAATGACCAAAATAATTTTGTAAAATTGTCCATGATTTGTTTTTAAACATTATAGAGTAAGTTAATTAATAACAAATTAATTTTAGAGCTATAAAGATCCAGAAAGGGGAACAATCTACGATGTTTCTGACACTGTAGATACAAAAAGCTTAGCTCACAATATTGGATATGTCGCTACAGCTTTGATAAGACAAATGTATAATATTTCGGGCCCACCAGCAACGTTATCTTCATACTTGGTAAACCGATTAGTAATTTGTTACAAGCTGTCTGAAAAGAAAATAACACTTTCCATTTCTATAACAGAGTGCCGATGAAGATATGATTAAGACGTGGCTTGAATTTTTAACTTCCCGCCCTCGTTCTGCCTCTTTGATTTATGAAAAAAATAATCCTCTCATTAAAGGACTTCATGAATACATGAATAGGTGAGTAAATTAATTATCAAAACTAAATTGAATACAAAGCTTTTTAAATATATATATATCTGAAAATTTGATTGTTCAGGTATCTCGATGATGTCAAAATATCTAGTCAAGTTGCTGACAAAAGAGATCCTGAATTTGTTTTTTACGATGCTACAAAATCTACTGTACATATTTACAGGTAATTTTGGTTAAAGTACATTTAATTAATTAATTTTTTTTATTATTGATCAACCCATTTTCACCTAAATTGAACGTTTTTAAAATGAATTAATACTAAATTATCAATGTGCTAGGTCAATATTTTACTTTATATTTCTTTCTTTATTGACATTTGCCTCCATTTTGATACATGTTTTATTAAATTGTAAAACTATATTATGAAAAAAATATATAATTGATTTATTATTTTTTAAGCAAAGTATGGTTGAGTGGGAAAAATTAGATCACACATCAAGTGGTCGAGCACGGGGGTTTTCAATTGGATTTCGGAGGGACCGAGTCACTCTTGTGATACTTAATTTTTCAACTTAACCAAACTTTGCATAAAGTACAATAAATAATTTAAAATAATTACTTTGGTTAATATGACTAACTGAAATATATATAGTATATACTTGTTTTATTATTAGAAAGACTTTTTTTTTTAAATCTATCATCTTATTTACTTCTTTTTTTTCAGTGTGAAACCTGCAATATTTGATTTGTTTCTGACATTGTTAATCACTTTATACCTGACGGTGATATACTTGATTATACAGGTAAAAATTTTAATGATTTCATAATTCATTGAAAAATAACACTATTATTCTAGTGAGTAAACAACAGTTTTACATTTGCTTTTTTTTACATTATTTTTTTTATATTTTTTATGTGAATAACATCTGCAAAATCATACCCAAAGAGCCTTTTGAACAAATTAACAATTTTCTCTAGACAAAAAAATCTGAAAAACATTAAAGTATAACATGTTTATAAATGAAAAAATAAGTTGCTAAAAAACAAAAAAGCATATCGAAAGTTAAAACTAAAGAAAAAACCACAGCTAATAATTGGGAATTAGTTAAAAATGGGGCCCTTTCAAAATTTTAACAGTTTTTGAGCCAGTAAACTTATACAGGAAATAAACAAAAATTCACCGCTGACTCATTTGGCAGCTCCGCGACTCCGGCGAGGAAAAAGTTCATCGGATAGTGAGTGTTGTAGAGTGTGGATAAAAATGAATAACTGGGTTCCATCCTCGTTTATTGTTATGGAAAATGAAGTTCCTTTTATGGCTTCTTATCAGCCTTCTAATATCATATAAGTAAAAGTATCGGGGAGGAGACCAGCAAAGAAAAAAGCTAAAGTTGTCATTCTTTCTGCCTATTTAATGCCTTTATCACGACCATATCCTAATAAAGACAGGTTAGGTTTAGTGTTACATTTAGGGATAGGTTAGGTTAGGTAGGGTTAGAAGTAAGGACAAGTTAGGTTAGTGTTAGATTTAGGGACAGGTTGGGTTAGAATTAAGGACAGGTTAGGTTAGTGTTAAATTGAGGGACAGGTTAGGTTAGGTTAGGTAGAGGTAGAATTAAGGACAAGGTAGGTTAGTGTTAGATTTAAGGACAAATTAGGTTAGTGTTAGATTTAGGAAGAGGTTAGGTTAAGTAGGGTTAGAGATAAGGACAGGTTAGATTGAGGGTCAGGTTAGGTTAGGTAGAGTTAGAATTAAAGACAAGGGAGGTTAGTGTTAGATTTAGGGACATATTAAGTTAGTGTTAGATTTAGGAAGAGGTTAGGTTAAGTAGGGTTAGAGTTAAGGACAGGTTAGGTTAGTGTTAGATTGAGGGACAGGTTAGGTTAGGTCGGGTTAGAATTAAGGACAAGGTAGGTTAGTGTTAGATTTAGAGACAGGAGGTTAGGTTAGGTAGGATTAGAGTTAGGGACAGGTTTGGTTAGTGTTAGATTGAGGGACAAGGTGTTTTTTTTCCAAGTAAGTATGAAAGTTGTGTTCTATTTTAGGGAAATGTTCTGAGTCCAAAGAGATTCATTGATTTCCACCCATGTATAAAGATTTACATCCGACAAGAAGAAGAAATTTTTTAATAGAAAATAATAGTATTATGAGTAGGGGACATAGTGGGGGATAACAATGGAGATTACCCCATCCCAAAAATGCGATAAGTTAATATGCAAGGTGCCGGTAATGGCCATAGATGGCAGGGAAAACAATTAATTACAACTATGTTAATGTAATCCAAATGAAACAAGATCACAAATTCATGAGTTTGAAATAAGCCTGTTGTGATTAATACAAAAATTCATATATTTTCAAAGTAAACACAGCAAGAGTGTCCGGTTCTTTTGTCTTTAAGTGTATTCAATGCTACTTGATAGAAATGTGAACTTGGTTGCATCATATAGCCTAGAGTAGAGTGAAGTTCCGTGACATCGGGCAAATGTGCATGGGGGTAAACCATTCTTCTGGAAAATTGGACATCGGATTGACGTCAGGTCATGCCTGTTGCATCGGGAAGTGTGTGTCGCCCTTTTACAGAAATAATATATCAAATATTTGATTAAAAAGGTAGTTGTTACAAGGTACAAGTAGGTAGTTGTTTTAATCATAAGCCACTGGTGGTGGATCAGACAGAAAACATCTCCTTAATTTAAGTGGTAAAATTTGTTTTTCAGTTTTGTTCAAACTGCCTCTTATTTTTCTAGTAGTTGTGCTACGAAAGTAGCCTGTAAGTTTGTTTTCTAGCTTCCCATTTCTATTTCATATTTTATCTCTTCCCTCTTTTTAAAATGGACCATAAAAGTGCATTGATGTTGGCTCTTGGATCTGGGGTAGTTGGAGCTGGTTTGCTTCTCCATCTGCTGCAAATTACTAATGTAAAAGAAAGACAGTTTGGTTTGTTTAGATTTATAAAGGTATATAGTCTAACGGGTTTATTTAAGCTAGTAAGATCTATTTAACAATCTTTTTATTTAATTGTTTCATTGTGCTCGTGTTTTTATTACTAGTCAAAATAGTCTATTTATATTGTTTAAAAATGTTCTAATCGCCAAAAATTCTCTTTAAAAATTGTTATAAAACCTCTCAGGGGAAAAAAATCCCTGTAAAACCAGATCACCGCCCAGCGGTCCATCCCGGAAACGTTATAATATAATTATAATTATAACGGCTAAAGATCTGTGTAAGGGGACCTGTTGTGATTGAAAAAAAAATATTATTTATTTAGAAATTTATTAAAACAAATAATGTGATAAATAAAAAATAAAACAAATAAAAGCAAACGCTGTAAGAGGTTTTACACCGAAAAATACAAATAACAAAATCACAAAAGGTCAGTTCGGGCTAAAATCTCGCGCCGTCAAGAATGACTAGGAGTTTTGAATATTTTGTTAGATGTGCCATCATTCAGGCCCACTCCTCAGACTGATAATGGAAAATAAATTAATGGCTAATTAAGTCTTAAATTTTGATGAGGGCATATTAGCAATAATTTTGATAAAAATGTAATTCCTAATTTCTGGGTGGTGTCCCTTTATGGGAAGTTCGACTATTCGTACTGTTATATTACATATAAGGAATTGTAAATGTTAATATTATTTGCATGTTTCAATTTATAAATAATTACGATATTTTCAGAATTTTGGACATCTGTATGGAGTATTTGTACCTTCAAGGAAAGTAAAAACTCCATAGAACATTCTTGGAAATTGAGACTAGTTGAACTCCATAGCATTAAGTTAAAGGATATAAGTTCATCAATTGTCGTGTAAATGCTGCTCTTTGAAATGTCAGTAGTACCCTTTTATAACAATAATGGATGATTCAGAAGTAGTTTTCAATCCTTTAAGAGTGTTTTAAAGACAAGGTGAAGTCATTGGTGGCTTTGGTTAGATTTTTTTTACGTTTAAAAAAAAGAAAGATTATTATTATCTTTTGTGTTATTTCCCCTTGTATCCCTTAAAGGAATGAAAAATTGGCTATTTATCTAAATTTCTAGATATATATTTCACAAAAAAAGACTTAGTAAGAAGATATTTACAAAGTTGATTTGTGTGAAAGTCTATTTAAAATTAATTGCATCTTGATAAAAGAGGGGAAATTAAGAATAGAGTTGGAATGAATCTGACGAATTAATCGAGTATTACAAAATATATTTGATTCCTTCAATGAAATATATATAAAACAATAAATTAAGAATCTTTTTTTTAGTACCCTATTTAAAATCGGTTTTTCTATTTCCTCCTTTATTCTTACTTTCCTTGGTCAACGGCATGATTGTGTGAACTTTGTATTTAGTCAGACCGATTACTTTTGTTTTAATTTGTAAGTAAGTTAAGCCTTTTTTGGATTCTCCTTCTTTGAGATTGAGAATATTGTTGATTACATGTTTGTTTTTCCCCTAGTTTGGTTTAAAAATGTAAGTATAAAGTATACAGGGAAAAAATTGTTTTTTAATTCTTAAATATTTCAGAAATTGATTTATTAACATTCAACATGAAATAAGTAATTTATTATTTTAGTCTTCAAAATTGAGCTTAATTTAATGTTTGTATCAAATCAATCATCTTCTGATTGAATATAAAAATATAAAAAAATAGTTTTTGTTCATCAACAAACTTGTTTAAATAATAAACAAATTTTAATTGCTAACATTTTAGCGTTTCATTAATAAATAATATGTTGCATACTTTTTCATTTTTTTTTTTTTTTTTAATATTTTTCCTCAAAAAGGCTTGGACCAAACTGTAAACGATGAAATAGTCTGTTTATAATGCACTAAGGTAATCGCAATTAAAGTATTTATTGCTTTCAAAAAAGCGATGGCATTTATTATTTGAAAAATTAATAAGAACACTGGTACAAAACCATATTCAAACGTTTATGACAATTTTAGATTAGAAATTTACTTAGTCGTAAATCGAAGTGCGCGATAACTAGTCAAAAAATAATTCAGTTTCAACGAAAATGAGATAATTAATAACAATTTTTTTTCTTTTAAAATGACAAACATTTTGAGCATCTATGCGAGTAGTAAAACCTCTTTTTTTTTAATATATACACACAAAGGCAATGTTTTATGTGTATCCAAAAATCGGTATCGGTATAATTTCAGACATTAAATTCAAATTATGTATAAAATATATACTCATCCATTTTTTATTCCAATAATGGGAATTTTATATTGAATTGTGAAAATTAGATAATTTAAAATAGGTTTAAGTATTATTTTTTCAATTGAGTTGATTATTTTAAAAAATTAATTTAGCAATAACAATTAATAAAAATAAATCATTGACAATCATATTAAAATTTTATAATTATGATTTATTTAATTTATATCAACATCTAAAGATGTTATCTTGTTGTCAAAATACAATCATGAAGATTTTTTTTTTAACTTAACTTCTGTATATACATTAATATACAATATTGTCGTTCAAAGAAGTGAGAATAAAAATTGTTATTATTTATTGAATAAATTTTATAATAGAGTTTGTTTTTATTTTATTCATACCATTAAAGGTGAATTTGTCTTCTTTTTTTATGTTTTAGTAGGAAAATCATTGGTAATTTTATTGCTACTACCCAATAATTTTCAATCAACTGTGAAATCATTCTACCTCCTCCCTCACCTAAGATTTGAGTATGAAATTGAAATATATGTTATATATAATCTTTGGAAAAAAAAAGAAAATTATTCATTTAGCTCTAATTTTCTTTCACTTTTGTTATCTATTTGTACAAGTTATTAAATAAATGCATTGAAACCTGAACTTTTTTTTTATAACATATTTCATTGCAATTAGCCGAGTTCACCCAAAGAATCTGAAGCCGCTATATTATGGCAGGACTAAGTCTTAAAAAGTGGCAAGCACCAAGCATTAAAAATATATCAGACACTGGAATCCACCATTGGTCTTAATATTTTCACATTTTTCCCCATTTAAATGTATAATTATATTTATGTTTTAGTGGTAAATTGACCAAGTTACATCTTTCAATTAATTACTCTTTCCTTGTAAGGCCTTGGTTGGGATAAAAAAAATTCAGTGTTTCGAGTGGGATTCGAACCCTCGACCTTCGGCTAAATACATCGGCTATTCTACCACTTGAGCTATGGTAACTTGAAGATGGCAAAAAGAGAAAGGTTTGAACGTTGTAGGTTGAGATGGAGAGTTGGTGTCCGAGTGGATCCAAGTCACGATAGCTCAAGTAGTTAGAGTAGCGGCGTATTTAGCCGAAGGTCGTGGGTTCGAATCCCGCTCCGTGACACTGACTTTTTTATCTCGACCAAGACCTTACATGGAAAGAAGAGCTATTCATTGATTATAAATTATATCAATGACATCAATGCTGAATTATTGAAGCAAAGCTTATCTATTTGGCCTGTCTCTTCAAAATTTTTGAGGACTTTTAAGATATAACACCTCTTGGCCTATTCTATAATCATCTATTAATATGAAATTAGTTGTGTACTTGTGTTATCTAAAGTGGAATATTATCTCTACAAGTGAAAAGAATACAAAGAACTTTATAAATCAGTATAATGCTATAATTTTAGAATCGCTCGGATTTCTGAGTGAAAAAGAGTCAAAATGGTTGTCTACAATTTGGGTGTTACCCACTTTTTAATCTTTGTCCAAGGTATGTTTAATTTTTTTTAAATTATCCTTTCCTTAGCATTCTTTTTATTTTTGTGAAATGCCAACTATAAACCATACATCGTTGGAAATACAGTTGACTTGATAATTCAATACTCAAAATTCGAATTGGAGCAAAGAATGGAGCGATTGGAAAGAAAATCAAATTATTAGCATTAACTTCTTTATTAGAACAGACTTAATTTGAAAATGTTCAGCTTTTATAGTATTAGTGATTTATATAAGCTCAACTCTTTTTGCGACTTTTCCCAGCCCACCGTTAATTCCCACTTTTTTTGTAATTTACAATAAACTCGACCATTACATATTTATGTGCCAACAGAGGGAGATACAAAGGATTCTAAGGAGAAGCCACAAATAAGATTCTAGAAAGAATTAAAATAAATGAGATGGCTATAACAGTATCTGACTAAATGAGAAGAAATCCCACTTCGACAGACACTTCTGTGTGGTCATAGAGATCTTTGGAAAAAAGGCAGATCAACAAAGATCAGAGTAGGTCTAGGGGTAAAAGGGCCTTGGCCCAACCATTTTCCAAGTTGAGGTCCATGCACTCCAGCTCTAAATAAAGGAATTGATTTTTTTTTAATTACTACTCTGACAGTCACTAAAGAATTTCAGTTCCTAACTAGTCTGGGAATGTCTAAATTGCCTAATGGCTCTAGTTAAATACAAGGTTACTTTAAAGTGGGTTCCGGGACATGAAGGTTTAGAAGGAAATGAACAGTCTGACATTCAAAAATGGGCAGCCTTCTCACCAATGGGACCAGAACCACAACTAGGTGCACTGGAGTAAGTGCTAAAATTGAAACTGAAAAATCCCCTTGAGAAAGAAAAACTCAAGCATTGGATAAAAGTGCCAGGTATGAGGCAAGCCAAGATTTCCCACTCAGAAAAAGGATTTAAGGAAATTTATAAATTAATAACTCTCTTAACCACCTAAAGAAGATGGGAAAAACATGCCAATATCAGTACATTTCCTCTGTGAATGCGAGCACTAGCCTGGTTACAGCCCAGGTAAGGCAATCACCCAAAAGGGGTGCGAGAAGAAACACTGAGAAAAGTACTTAATTGTATAGAAAAAAAAGTCCACTTTCCAAGGTATGACAATAATTATAGTTGTTACAGATTAACCTATATAGGTTGCAGAAGAAAAAAAGTTTTAAACTCTATATTTGACAAAAAAAAATCACCGGCAAAGTACAATCTGCCCTGTCGTAGAGGTTGGGCTTCAGGAGCTCTCAAGAGCTAAGTAATTTCAGCACCCAAATCAGTTTCTAAATCTAAACCCACTCACTCTTAAATACATTCTTTCCTATTTACACATAAGCTTAGGGTAGTGGAGTACTTGATGTAATTGAGGGTTGACGGGGTCCATTGGCCTGTTCACATTTCAAATTCATGCTAATAAATACAATCAGGCTCAATACTCACAAAACTTAATATCCATCATTACACAATAAATCAGCCCTATTTCCTCGAAAAATTGTAATGGGGACTTACTTCCGTGCTCAAGCTCACTTTTCAAATCGGGTGGCCTATTCACTCTATTTGGAGCTAAGGAATGGTACCATTCAATGTAGCACATCAACATTTCTCTACATGCCAGACACATACGCACGCTATAAAAGTAAGTCTGTGTGTAACCTCACATGGCCTATTCTTAATCTCGAGGAGGGCGATCCTTTTTCTACAATTAATCCTACTATGTCCACCTTTTATAGTATGATTGATTAATTTTAAGTTTAATCTTGTTCGTACTAATGTTTCAGCTCTTCTTCTTACAAAGGCTGAATTTATACCTGTACAAAAAGCTCCCTTTCAGGTAATTTATCATACTTTTTTTTTTCTTTTAAGTTTGTGAAGGCATGTATTTACAAGTCATATTTTGCCTTGAATATAATAATAATAAGGGTGGTATGGAAAACAGAAATTGTTGTCCGGCGAGAGGGCTAGAGGGATATCATCAGGAATTCCACCACACTCTTAAGCAATTTTACTTAATATCGGTAGCTTGACGTCTTGCTTAACAGGCTGTTTTTTATCAATTCTTCTTCAGGGCACAAAACATTGTGTTAGGGTAAATTTAGGTGGAAATGTAAGTATGTACATGAAGCTTTGCACAGGTGTCTTTTTTACTTCCACTAATAAAATTGAAATGCTTGTTTTCTTGTTTACAACATGACAAAGAGAGATTGTTCATCTGCTACAAGGCACAGCACTAAGAACTGTTTTAGAATCCTTTCCCTTGCTTTTCAACTTGTCTCTCAAGTGTTAAGATGGTTGAAAAGGATGTTAGACTAATTGTCTTTATTAACTTATTCTGAAGACTAGTTTGGACAAAAATAGCTCCACCACTTGCACTACAGTCGGTTATTTCCCAATAAAGCGTAGTTTACTACTTTTCTTTTTTCACCTTGAGCAGCTTTCCTTGCAAGAATTCTGCCTTTATTTATCCAGATAAAAATAATTTTTCCTTTTCTATTATATTCTAGCTTGTCTGTAATGTGTTAATGCATCATTGATGAAAATTCCCCGATGTCCTTGCTCAGCAGTCCGTCCTACGTACTGCGTGCTGAGGTTCATTTCAAATTTTTTGACAACTATGTGGCCGTATATAAAAGGCCCGGGACTTGGTCGGCTCACGCGTCCTGCATAAACCTCTTGGACCTGTTCACAAACCCCAAGATTTTGGACCATTTTATCTTGGGGAGTGATTTGGCGATGTCCTCTCCTTCAAAAGTTTCAAATCTATGCCTGGCATACCTATCACATTCTGCGAGGTAGTGCCGTGCCGTTTCTTCTTTTATTTCACAGAAGCGGCAAAAGGGGTCTGGTAAAATACCCGTTATGAAAAGGTGTCTTCTCAATGGGCAATGGCCCGTTAGGATATCTATCAGCCTCCTAATTCCCCTCCTTGAGTTAGAGAATAGCCATTTCGATTCTTTTGGTTTGATTTCTTTCACAAACTCCTTCGATTGCCTATGTTCGGGGGACAGATTCCATTCTTTAAGGAATTGTTCATGCCCCAGCAATTAATACTCTCTTTAGCTGTGCTTATAGAGTGGGGTAATACCGGTTGTGGCCCGACAAACGCAGTATTTGAGCCTTCTTTGGCCAGGCTGTCCGCCTCTTCATTGCCATAGTATCCATATGAGGGTTACCCTATTCTCGTACCTGGTAGTAATCCTATTAATAAGTTCAACAGTTTCCTCCACCAGCCTAGATGTTGATAGCTGTAGATTCATCAGCAGTGAAAGAGTCAGCGGATCTCTCCCCGTGATTATTATGGTACCATCATCTGAAAATAATTGGCTGTAGAAACCTGAATTATTCAGAAGTTCTATTAAGCTATTTACTGTGATTAACCACAGAAGAGGGGATAAGCAGCCTCCCTGTGGACAGCCTCCTGTGACATTGATTCTCAGAATACTTTTACCTAAGCACATATTTACCATCCGTCCCTCTAAGTAGGTTTTCACCCATCCTGTGAGGTGTTGGTCTACATTGTATCTATTTAGTGCTGATATAATGCAGGAAGTATCTGCATTATCAAATGCCCCTTGGATATCAAAGAAGCACCCTAACGTACATTCATTATTGAGTAATGATTTCTCTGTCCTTCCTACCAGTGAATGCAAAGCAGTTTCCACTGATTTTCCTGGTAAATAGGCATGCTGATTAGGATGTATCATGGTGTTAATTCCACAGTCATGTCTAATGTATTTACCTAGGATTTTCTATATTATTTTTATGATAATAGAAGATATACTTATAGGTCTGTATGATTTAAGTAATTGATAAGAGACCTTACCTGGTTTGGGTAAGAAAATTACCCTTATTTCCTTCCAGCATTTAGGTATGTATCCCAATGCCAGACTACTCCTTAGGAGATCCCAACCTGTACTAGAAAGACTAGGTGTATCCTGTTGTAGTAGGGCAGGGAATATTCCATCCATCCCGACTGCCTTGAACTCCTTGAAGGACTGTACCGCCCATTTGTAGGCATCACCTCATGTGCCTTAATCCAATTTGGTGCAGGTAGTTCTTCCTTGGTTTGGGTATCGGAGGAGTCTGACCTGGGGAAATGGGCCCTGGCCATTAGGTTCAATGTCTCCTCGTTAGTTGTGGAATACTCCCCATTTTCATCCTGTAATAAACCTAGAGGATTAATGTAATCTTTTTCCAAAAGTTTAAAAATTCGAGCACTTTCCAAAATATTCTCTGTCTTCAGACAATATTGAATATTCCTCCAGGCTTTTCGTTTAGTTTTCCTCAACTCTTTTTTGTATTCTTTTTTCAGGGAGAGAAATTCCCTCCAATACTGTTCTGAGTTCCCCTGCAGGGCTTTCTTGTGTGAAACACTGACCCTTTGAAATTCTTGTGAAAAACTAGCCAGAGCTTTATTCCACCAATGAAGTCGATTCTGGCATAGTATTTTTTCAGGGCATGCTTCTACGTAGGCAGATTTAATGACCTGAATGATATTATTAGCAGCCTGCTCCAGCTTTGTTACGTTAGTAGGAGCAAGTGTGTGACTTGTAATATTATTATTAATAATGTTAACGTAGGTATCCCAGTTTGGATTCCTAAACCTTATTTTATTCAGTTCTCCTGAGATCCCAAAGTCTATAATACAATGATCTGAGGAGATCTTACCTGGTGTCACTTTCCATTCCGTTACCCAATTGGCAATTGGCAGGGAGGCTAGTGATATATCCAATACTTCCTTTCTGTTTTTTGTTATAAAAGTGGGAGTATTGCCTACATTCAGGATTGATAGGTTTTTACTCATTCTCCTGCCCTAGAAACACATATTCCCGATCCGATTAGGAGTTTTTTGTATTGAATCATAATAAAAACTCTTGGAACACAAATGCTTCTACAGCTTCATTGTTGTATCGAAACGGTGGCCTCCAAGGGCTTCCAAAAATACGAAAATGACAAGGTGGCTAGTTGTTTTCCATCTTAATGCATCCAATTTTTGCCTCGTAGCATTAGCCGTATTAGGCCTGGCATTGTCATGCAGAAGAATAACACTTCTGACCGATTGTTTCTTCCCTTTTCCTTTGAAATGACAATTTTGCAGCATCCAGTAATTCAGAATATCATTGCACATTAATTGCCCGTCGATTGTGGAGAAAGTCAACATGAAAAGCTTCCTCAATATTGGCCTCAGTCATACTTGTCTGTCCTTGGGTGGAGAATGTGGCTCTCGCTCTCCATCTTTTTATGCCCTCCAGAAAATTTCTTGACAGAATGTTGTCCCTGTACTGTGCCTTTAATCGCATCAAAATTTCAGTTGCTCCTCGGAAACAGGCACTTCTTTCTCACTCATGGTTTCTTTTGATATTAAATAAGCTTGGGAAGTTTGCTGTCAGTTCTCCCCAGTCCCTAACGTTACAAACTACCTGCATGTCAACCTTTTTCAGGTCTACGACCCATCTCATATTTTTAAGAAAATCAGTTCAGTTTATATTTGATACAACTACCATGGTAGCCAAGTTGTTAACACTTGCTAGTAGATTCCCAGAGGGTTCGATTCTCACTGACGCATCTAAACTTTTTTCTGACACATAAGGGGAGAAGAACACAGACACTCCGGTGGTTCAGTTCACACCGGTTGCACAGTTGTTGCAAGCTCCCAGAAATGGAACCAGGAAGGAGTGCAAAAAACTGTACAGCTGCAGTATTCAAGGGTAACTTTAGTCCTTTGCCTCGTGAATGTTGACAAGATAAGGGGATGTTGAGAAGATTCCGGCATGGATCTACCAGACAACAAGGGCAGAATTTTATAGTTTTATGTTGAAAAAATCTCCAAATTTATATCTGATATTTAATTTTTTTGTTAAATACATTTTTTAAATTTCATAGGTCCAAGTTGAATTGAAAAGTGGCTCAACATTCCTTGCCCATGCTGCAATATTAAATTGTAAATGGGTTGTTACGGTAGCAAATGCAGTTAATGAGTAAGTACAAATTAATATATATCATGTTTAACATTTCTTTAATATAATTAAATAAAACATTGTAAAGATCCTTAGAACAATTAATGACAATTTTAAAACCTTTAATTAAGTTGGGGGTGTTGTGAATGAAAAAGTAAAACTTTCTATGGATACACTTCGCAAACTTTGGAATAGAGCGAAAAAAACGGGGAATACTGAAAAATACAGTAAAACCCTAACAGAATACAATAGGGAGATAAAAAAGGCGAAACAGGAATCGTGGAGGAAATATTGCAAGGAAATCGAAAACATCACTGAGGCAAGTAGACTCCACAAAATCCTCGCCAAAGACCCTATAAACCCCATCGGAACACTAAAAAAACCAGATGGAAAACACACACAAACCGGAAAGGAAACATTAGAAATCCTAATAAGAACACACTTTCCGGAATCCAAAACTATTGCCAACCTGGAGATAAAGGAGAGTGCTGAACCCGCTAAAGGCCACAAAGCCAGAAGGGAAGATTGGCAAATAGCCAAAACAGTAATCACCTATGATAAGATTGAATGGGCCATAGATAACTTTAGCCCATTCAAATCTCCAGGAACAGACGTGATATACCCAGTACTACTACAAAAGGGAAAAACTACTAATCCCCCTACTTGTAAAAATATACAGAAGCTGCCTAGCAATGGCTATTGCACTCGCTAATGACCACAAGAAGGACCTTATGCAAATTTTGGGGACTAAAACCGAAAATGGCCTATTGGCTATACACGGCAGTAGTAAGACCCAGAATAACCTATGGATCACTAATCTGGTGGAACAAAGCTCAACAAAAAGTAGCTACCCAAACATTAGGCAGCATATCACAGGGGCGATGAGAACAACCCCTACAAACGCATTAGAAACTTTGCTAAACCTACCTCCATAAGATCAGACTGCCAAGCAGCTATTAAAGCATTAGCATGTAAAAGAATCACTATCAAAACTAGTCAGTGAATGCATTCAAAATCTCCAAAACCTGGGGAAACACAACAACCTAATGATATCTTGGGTGCCAGGGCACAGGGGAATTTTTTGGTAACGAGAAAGCAGACAGATTGGCCAGAAGAGGATCTGCAAGACCATACATAGGCCCCGAACCTATCCTTGGGATAACAAAAACAAATATAGAATCCTCCATCGCAGAATGGATCCAAGCAAAACAAAAGGAAAAATGGATAAACTCTAGCGGTGCTAGACATAGTAAACGTATGATGAAACAACCCTCACCGAGACTGGCAAAAACACTGCTACAATTGGAGAGGGCCAAACTCAGAGGAGTGGTAGGACTACTAACCGGTCACTGGTATCTGAGAAAACATCTACACAACATGGGTATATACAGCGATGATCCCATTTGCAGATTATGTAATGAGGAGGAGGAAACAGCCACTCATATCATCTTCGAATGCGAAGTAACAGCTCGATGGAGGTTTAACCTAATGTACAGAAAAGACTTAGGGAATCAAATTGCAGCAGCAACAGTCAATGACCTGATACTTCTAAGAAGAAGGATTGAGTCTATTGACTGAACTAAGGAACTAGGAAGGTACAATAAGCCAGAAGGCTGCAGTGCCTGGGGAATACAAACCCCGCTTCCTAGCATCCTTTCCACCATACCATACCATGGATACACTTCTGATACTGCTACACTTACAGAATGTCAAAAAATTCTCACATCAGTGATAGTAGTTTTGGTCAAAGTTGATTGTTACACATTTCAATTTATTGATATAACACCTCACAGATATAAATTACATCTTCAAACACTCCACAATTCATTTATTATTAGTGATAATCATTCAGATTTTTTTTTCTCAGCGATAATAAATATTTCTGTTTTGTAGTTTTAAACCGAAAGATGTCCAAGTAAGATCTGGTTCAGGACAGTTGGGCATGCATGGAGGGCTTCATTCAGTGAGACATATCGTCGTCCATGGCAATTATACCAAGAAAAACCAGTTCCTTAATAACATCGCTCTTATTCAAATATTTTATAATTTCCGTTTGTCAAAAACGGTTTGCCCTATCTTGCTTTCAGAAACTGTACCAAAGTCCTATAGTGAAGGGCAGGTGTCGGGTTGGTGGGCGGTAAGTTCAAAAAGAAAAGTTCTATTTGTACCCTATTAATAATTTTTATTTAAAACATCAAGTGTTTATATTTCACGCGGAAATAACAAGCCTCAGAATAGAAAGTAATGTGGAGTTCTATCATAAAAGAAGGCTTAATGAATACAATGTTGGTTAGAGAGTGGAGAACTTTTGTTTTGCTCCTCAAAACTCATTCACAGGAATTATAAAAAGAGTGGGCCTGATGACAGACCCCTGGGTACATCTACTGGCTCTATGTGAGCATTTGATATGACAGGGAATCTTCTGTAATTTCCTTCAATTCATACTCTATAACTTCACGCTCTATAACTACATATTACCACTGACAGTGAATGAGCCTTTATGACATCCGGCATATTTACCTTAAAGTTAAAAATTCATTGAATTTTTGACAATATTATTCAATATCCAATATGCAAATCAAACCTAAGAATGCAATCCAACATACTTGACAGTCTTTACAAAAGGTATAGTTGAGTAGCAAGAGCATAAATTTTTGTTGAGTTTCTGGCAATCAGTAGTTTTTTAGTATATTTTAAACAAGTATGAATAATAAAATCATGGACCTCATTGGCATATATTACTATTGGACAACATAAATTAATATGGATATATGTGGATACACAATTTCTTTGTTATTGATTTTGCAATACCCAGGGACCACATGGGTTGGTTGGATTAGGTTAGGATTAGAGTAAGAGACAAGTTAGATTTGGTTAGGATAGCAGGGCTAGGGTGTAAGATGAGTAGGTTAAATTAGGATGGGCTCTAACCTTAGTTAGAGATGGGTTGGGTTAATTAAGGCTAGGGTGAAAGATAGGTTAGGTTTACAGATGAGGGCGGGTTAGGGTTAGTGTGTAGTGGTGGATTGGGTTAAGAAGAGTCAAGGTTTTCGATGGGTTAGGATTACAGTTAGGGACAGGTTAGATTGAGTTAGGTAGGGCTAGGGTTAGAGATGGGTTGGATTAAGTAGAGCTAAGGTAGGATTATGGTTAGAGAGAGGATAAGTTAGTTAGGTAAGGTTAAAGTTAGAGATGGGTTGGGTTAAGTAGGGCTAGCGTGTAACATGGATTAGGATTACAGTTAGGTTAGAATGAGATTTAGGTTAAGTTATGTAGGGTTAGGGTTAAGTAGGGCTAAGGTAGGATTATAGTTAGGTTAAGTTCAGAAGGGTTAAGGTTAGAGATGTGTTCGGTTAAGTAGAGCTAGGGTGGAAGATGTGCTAGGATTACAATAAGGTACGGGTTATGTTAAGTTAGGTAGGTTAGGGTTAGGGTTAGAAATGTGTTGGGTTAAGTAGGGCTAGAGTGGAAGATGGGTTAGGATCAGGGACAGGTTAGGTTACAGTTAGAGTTGCGTTTAGGTCGTTATGTAGGGTTAGGATAGATATGTGTTAAAGTAAGGAGAGGTTAGGTTTCATAATAATGATTCAACGTTTTTCCATTAGTGGAGAAAATATGCGAATGCAAAGTACAATTTTTTCTACAAAGATGCCCAGTTAGAAAAATCATTAAACCGTGGGTTAGTTGGTTTAAATGATAACCTTACATATAAAAAAATTAACAAAGTACATTTTTATTCAAAAGTTATTACTCTTTGTTATGTCATTTTTAAAATGATTTTTTTAATAATTTAAATGTAAATTTTGAACAGTTTAATTTATTTTTAAACAGAATAAACAAGGGGGACAACTCGAACTATATGAATCCATAAATATTGTACCATTAGATAAATGCCTTCAACAGTACAAAGAGAAAAACGAAATCATCAACGTTGATGCCCCAGTTTTATGCAGTACTCCTGTAAAAGAGGTATATTTAACTTGTTATTATTAGTATGAATATTTTAATATTATTCATGTTTTAAGATCAAATTGATTTTGTAATGTCATGCCAATGTGTTTGATAAAAATATGTATTGTCAGTTCAGTGCATATTCATTCTTGTTTGGTGTTTGACTCACCTTCAGCACAATTTAATGTTCAGCCTTGTTTAAAATTATTTGTAGATCGAGAAATGCGATCTACATCTCATGATCTACAAATAATCATTAATTAACAGTCACTAAATATTACACACTTGTTTAAAATAATGGCCAAATATTAATTAATATACAAAAATAAACAAGAAGTCCAAAATCTATGTATATATTTTTCTTTTTTGGCCTTGATGTGCTCGTCTGGCTGCTTCTATTAATTGCGGTTTGTTGAAGTAAAGGCTGATTATGTTAAGAAAAACCAAATATTTTTTCCATTTTTGATTTATCAGTGAATACTCGATTTTCAACTGCTAATCTGTTTGCAACTTTCAATCTTTTCAGTCTTTATATCTCATGTAATCTAAGTAGGTGTTAAGACTGCTGACTGACTGGACACTGCAGAATCTGAAGGCAGACTTAGATCAGCAGAAACTAGCTTTCTCAACATACATTGACAGGAAGAAAACAGGGTAACATCTCTGTGGGTGTGAAGGCAGCAGGCTAAAATTCCTGCTCCTAGGAAAAGCCGAGACTGAAGGATACACAAAGGAGTCCTTTACAATGCTTTGTGATCTGATAAAATGCCTTAAGCTTAGCAGTGAGCTCTAGACAATAATGAAAATTGGAGATTATTAGTTATATTGTTTGTACTGTCACTTGTTCATTATCATAAATCTTGGTCTACCTATTCCTGCTGGTTTTTATTAGTGTTGTTGCCAATTTGATGTGATATGTTATTTCATAAGAAATGTGTATAGATTAGTGGCCGTTAATCGATAGTTATTCAGATATCGTGAGATGCGGTCGGGTGTGATATAGGTTTCAGAAAAACATTTTCTTTATCGTGCCAACGTTTCAATCTTTTATTGAGATCATCTTCAGGGCTCAAAGTGTTTGTCTTCTGTGTAATCGTGCCATCCTTGCGTATTGAGATGAGACTGGCACTCTCAACACGACACGCAAGGATGGCACAATTACACAGAAGACAAACACTTTGAGCCCTGAAGATGATCTCAATAAAAGATCGAAACGTTGGCATGATAAAGAAAATGTTTTTCTGAAACCTACATCACACTTGACCGCATCTCACGATATCTGAATAATTATTTCATAAGCATAATTCTGGCTATATCTTTTGTTTTCTTAATTTAGTCTTTTTTAATTTTTGTTCATTTAAAGTCTGCTTAGTTATAGCACGACCACTGAAAATGATCCATCTAGGAGCTTTTTGTGAAAAACAAATACTTTTATTGTTAAACATCTTTTTTAAATTTATTTATTATAATTTTTGTATGTTTAAGGTTCCCGTCAGTCTGGGTCTTTCGTTGAGTATGAATACGAACCTACAAGGCCTTTTGATTAAACAAATCCCCGGCCTTCCGTTTGTATACACAGCTATGGACCGATACGTTTCGTGGGTCAAAGATACACTTTCTAAGATGACATATTACAATTCTGGAAGCAACAAAGAACAATGTGAAGGGTTTCACAGTAACTGTGTTTTACAACTGTTTCATCGTTGAAAAACAATTAGTTGATTCATGTAATAGCTAATTATTTAACAATTTATTATATAGGAATATATTTTTCTTTCCTTCTTGTACAAAGAGAAGGGGCAGCTTGTGACAAAGAGAATTGTTTGTTAACTAAAAAATCCTGAAAATAGCGTATAACAGGGTTGATCAAATGTATAATATATTGATTAAATTAGAATAAATAATTATTATCATGGGCGAATATTTTGTATTTACACATATACCTCAATTAATTTCTTTACCTTTTTTTTTTCTACAGCAGAATAGCAAATGCTCAAAATTCTCTACCACATCTTTCATAATGAAGGGCAGCTCTTATTTCAATTTTATACAAAATTATGTAGCAATGTTGTACGAGCACAATAAAAGAAGAAAAGGAGCATGAAAGCAATTTTCCCTTAACACCTCGTTTTTCCGTGCCTTGAGATCTGCTATCCGATGCAATGCGCCCACGGTTTCATGTACAAGTGCAAGGTCCAGGAAAAATAGTCTCCCCTCATCAGTCCCATCCAGTGCTCGGAGAGGAATTTCGACAGCGACCTGATATCCCAAGTCATGGAGACTGGCAATTAGGTCCTGGAGGCACTGATCATGTCTCAATAATAGTTGGAGTGATTCTCCGGGCATGAGGTCAGCACATGGGAGAAACTATCATTCTTCAGGTCTTCTCTACACTCTTTGACTGCCATCTGGACTTTTAAGGGCTACTCTCCTCTCGTCATTGAGTAGGATTTTTTTTCAATCCTTTGATTAATGTTTTATTGCAAATTTTAATTTTATGGTGTTTTGTTGTGAGAAGCCTTTTAAGGATCTTCTTTTAATAAATGACCCCAAGATTGAGATTCCCTGATTACCACCAATAAAATGTGGAAATTTGGATAAAACTGAGCCTTGAGTCAGTTCTCTGTCTCCCTGTACCTTTTAAAGCTCATTTAAATTGACGAACAATTAATGCCAAGATGATTAGCAATGTAGCACAGGACTGATGATTTATGACTCATTGTGATAAAAAATTAACAGAATACAAAAAAACAATTGCTAGCAAAAGGTAGAAAGTAACTGAAAATGTTGAACTGGTCCAAGAAAAACGCTGATCCTTTATTTGTTGTTAAATCGTGATTAATAATATGATTAATATCTCTCATAACATAATAACATAATAATATTAAAAAAATGGTTAAGGTCAAAAATTTAGATACCAAGATTTTTAGGCCCTGATATTTTTTGACAGGGAGTGTATTATAAAAAGTCCAATAATCGCAACAACAATTAAAATTACACTGATCATTTCTGTCTCCCTATACAAGCAATTTTAGGTTGAAATGATCAGAAATGACCACACAGGTTTATCATCATCACCACCACAGATATCAAAAGGAAATCTCATCCTCATTTTTCTCAGATCTGTAGAAGAATGAACTAAAACAGAACAAAACATTAAGAAGAATTACAATTAATTAAGGTTTTCAGTTGAGATAAAAAAGTCAATGGCACAAGCGAGATTCGAACCCACGACCTTCGGCTTGATACGCCGCTGCTCTACCACTTGAGCTGTCGTGACCTCGATCCACTCGGACATCAACTTCCCATCTCAACCCCACCTTTTGAGTTTTCCCTCCTTTTTGCCATTTTTCAAATGTCGTGTAATCTATTCGATTCTCGGCGACAAATGAAATGGCCACGGAGAGCTTTAGTGAAGTGATACTTCATTTTAAACTTATTCAATTCACTAGTTTCGTGAAAAAATGGCAAAAAGGAGGGAAAACTCAAAAGGTGGGGTTGAGATGGGAAGTTGGTGTCCGAGTGTATCGAGGTCACGATAGCTCAAGTGGTAGAGCAGCGGCGTACCCCGAAGATTGTGGCTTCGAATCCCGCTCGTGCCATTGACTTTTTTATCTCAACTGAAAACCTTAATTAATTGTAATATATTAATTGGTCAAGCAGACCACGAAACTAGTGAATTGATTAAGAAGAATTTTAACCTTTATCAATTATAATAATGTATAACAGCAATTACCAGGGTTTAATGTGATTAATAAAGAGGTCTACATTCTCCTGATTCCAAAACACCTGATGGGCTGCACAACCATGGATCGTTTGTTTTTTGCTGCCAGTCGTTCAATTGGGACTTAAGTTGATTAAACACATCCTATTGAAAACATTCTTTTGAAATTTCAATTAAAATAATTGGGTTATTTTAACTAAAGTGAAGAAAAATCTTCACATCGACTGTCCATATAAATAAAAACATATATCACCAGGAACCTTATAATGAGGATCGTAGGCTAAGTTATTAATTTCCATTGGATCAAAATGAAGACTGTACAACTCCCATTCTTTGCGATTATAATAATTATGTAAATATCTGTACCAAAATGTGGGCTGATGGTTTCTTGTTTTGTTAAGAATGTCCTGAAAATGAAATAAAGCTTTTATACAATATAATAAGATTATGTATTAATTTTATTTAGTTTTAAGATAATTTGAAACCCCAATACTATCTGAAATGCCTTGGTATACTCATCTGCGCTTATGAGAGGTTATGCAGGTTAGGCAATTATGATAAATAATAATAAATATCAGGGGAAAAGTGTGTAAAAAAATTAATTCGAAGCTAGCCTGGGACTACGTAACATCAAACAAAAAGTGGCCCTGCCAGCCATTGTTAGCAAACAATGCGCAAAGTAAGATACAGCACTTACATTACCGTTAAAAAAGAACCACAGAGTATGTGCTCAAACTGGATTGAAATTCTGAGGCTAAAATGGGAAAAAAATTCTATTCCAAATATAAAGAATGCTCACTCAGAAGGTTGGCATTGAAGAAAATCATAACCCATCGCCTTTAATTGTTGAAGAGACATCAGAAATACTTTAAAAAAGCTGCTTCAGTAAACTATTTGATAAGCCCATTATCACAAAGCTCGACATGAAAGAAAATGTCAGAAAGGCAATTTGGATGAAGAAATGGGCATTCTATTGAAGATGCAATTATTAAAATTTACTACACTGTGGAAAAAAAAATAAAAAAGTACATCTTAGCCAGATTTTTTGGCTTCATAAGATTCCGTACATTGGACGTAACTGTTCATTGAATTTAAAAAGAATGATTGCCCTCAAAATAATTACGAGTTACTTCGGTGGCAGAGAAACAGTAATCTTAACAAAGCACACCACTTCTCGTCAAAATATAACAAAGGCTGTTCTCAAGGATCTGTCTTGAGACCTCTTCTCTGGAATAGTCTTCATCAGTATTCTTGTAAAACTCGAAATATTAAAAATTGAGTTTGCTGCTTTTGTTGATGACCTAGTCACACTCATAGAGGTTGATAGCAAAAAAAGAGTTCGAAATAAAGGCTAAGCGTATTATAGGTGAAATAATAGAGTAAAGAGGCTAAGTTAACAATCTCCCCTGAAAAGTGCCATTCATTAATGCTACTCCACCAAAGGTCAGAATAGAGAGAAATGTAATAAACTGAATAAAAGATGTAATATCTCAGAGTTAGAAATAGGTGAAAGTTAAATAGCGCTTACCAGGTAAATAAGAGAAAGAACTGAGCGGGATTGCTCTTAGGCAAATAAAAGACCGGAAACAATTGAACACATCAGAAGTCGAAGAACTGGAGAGGAATAAAAAAGTGAAATGAAAAAGATGGGAAAGCAGCCAAAAGGGTGATTTTCAAATTCTTGCCTGAAATTGAAGAGAGGGCTAAGTGGTTACTTCTTGATCACTAAGCGATGCAAATGCTAACATGCCATGAAAATTTCAAACCATATCGTTTTAAATACAAAAGAGCAAACAGCCCGTTATGCTTTGTGTACCAAGCGGAAGATGGTGAAGCCACACAGAATGTTCATGCTTTGAACAAAAAGAAATGGAAAAACTAAAAACCTCGTTCCTAGAAAAATGGCCATCTGACTTGAACGAATTGACAAACAAAACAAAATTTTGTCTAGCGCAAGTATCATATATAGCATATAGTATAATAGCACTTGAATGTATATCTAGAAGTATTTTATATGTCGTACAACCTTTTTTCAATATACAGTCCAAAGTGTTTGATACGGAATTATTTCAGATAAACTGGTGGAAGTATTTTGTGTTTGATGATAAAGGACACCAACATTGGGTTTTCATTCTCTATTTGTGGGACCATGGTTCTAGGGTAAGGAGGTGGTAAGGTAGGACATATAGCAGAGAGGATTGCTGTATTGTCAGCAAAGGTGAGGGAAGTCTGCCATGTATATGCTGAAAAGTAGCGGGCCTACGCTGCTCCCTTGAGAAACAACAGAGAGGATAGAATAGATGTAATAAACTATCAGATAAGATAGTATGCGTTAGAAAGGATCTCAGACGGTCTTAGACAATAATGTCTATCTAGTTTTCTCATACATATGAAATTGTACAAATTGTACATCCTGTATATATTAAAGAATAAAGGCATAAAGTAGTATACTAGAAAGAAAGGATTTGAGCTGCACCAGAGCCTGGTGCCAGGTGCGATCGAACACCTGAAAGATGCCTAGAAAAAACTCAAGGGAAGAACTGCTTAAATTATGTTTTCCCCAGAATTAATTACCTGAAAAGATGGAGAGACATATAGATCTTGATCGATGGGAAAAGGCATTCCATAATTTAAATTGTGTATTAGTTTATACTTTTTTGTTCGTATAGCTCTCATGGGGTAATACATTGTTACTTCGTGTAAATTATGACTGTAAAATACAGGCAATTCTTTCACACTCCCTCCTAAAAGTAATGGAATGATTAATATATTTTATTACAATCATAAATATTTTCAGTTATTATTTAATGTCGTACCTTTTTCGATCAAAGGGAGTAAAGAATTCCCCCTTAAATTCATACTATTTTTATTGTGTTTTGAATAGAGCTTACTAAGTCCAAACCAATCTAAAATGGTCGGTGCGATGTCTAAGAGACTCGTTATGTGGCTTGTAACTGAATTCTTTAGTGCCGTTGCTCTTGGGGATGAAATCAACAGCGGTACAGCGGTACCTGAAATAACCGAATACGGTCAAAGTGTGAATATTTACATATAAAAATGTGAGTATACCTGAGTCATATACATTGGTTCGACCACCAGCAAATGGAATTCCATTATCCGATGTGTAAATAATTAACGTGTCATTGAGAACACCAGCTGATTCTAGCTCTTTCAGCACTAAACCAACACCTGAAAAAGTACAACCATTTCAGTACAATTACAAATTTTATAAATTCGATTATATCTAATTAGAAGACAAAAATATAAAAAATAATGTTAGGTTGGTTGAAATAATATTCTTACTTTGAATGAATTTATTTACTAGCATGAACATGAGAGTTTGTTAAAGTGTGTTTGGAATGGAATATCAAGTACTCACAGAAACACCGAAGAAGTGTGTCTATTTCCAGTGTAATAGAGAGGTAGTCACTGCAGTAATATCAAAACCCTGATGATTACCTGATTGTGTGAATGTATTTATTAGCGTGACTGGTTAAGTGTGTACGGACACGGTATGAGATGGAATATCAAGTACATCACAGACCTATCGAACCAATTAGGTTAACTAGAATGAGTGCATGATTTTTACTTTGTGTGAAAGTATTTATTGATGTGAATGAAGGGAGTATGTTCAAGTGAAAAATGTCATACCGATGTAAGTTGTACATGATTTTAGTGTATTTGTAGGTAATGGGATCTCAGTTTATCGAAAACTCTTTGTGTCCCACCTAATGAAAATTAAGTTATCACCTTAATAGTACGAATGTGTATTTTCAATGACTTAGGATAATTTAATTAGTGTGACTAAACTTGAAGAGCCAGCGATCGCCCTAGCAGCTAGCTGGGCAAAAAATAAAAATGAAATATAAATTTTAATTATGTACTAATATATTTGAGCACCTGTATCCAATCTAGAAATGGTAGTGTATTGGGCAGCAAGGTCGTATTTCGCTTGCATACTATCTTGGACGAAATAAGGTCCGTCAATTTGCTCCGGCTGATAGATTATAGGTATCCAATCCGGAATTAAACCGTTACCCGGTTCCCCATTGCCAAATTTTTCGCAAAAGTTTCCAAATTCTGGATGAGTATGACCACATCTATGTGGATCGTGGAAACCTATGTAAAGAAAAAATGGCCTAAAAAAAAGTTAAGGTTTTAACAATAATAATAATAAGAATAAACACCAATGATATACCAGTAACAAGTGCAAATTAAACAAGATCACCAAAAACAAATTTAATTGAAAATATTTAATTATTATTAATTAACATTTAAGATTGGATTAGCTTCTGAAATTTTATAAAAGCCTTTATATCTCTGACTATTAATTTTTCATAATAAGTGTTAAAACTATTCAAACTTTGATTTTTTATAGAAGTTAATTAAGGTTTTTAGTTGAGATAAAAAAGTCAGTGTCACGAGCGGGATTCGAACGCACGACCTTCAGCTCAATACGCCGCTACTCTACCACTTGAGCTATCGTGACTTCGATCCACTCGGACACCAACTTCCCACTTCAACCCACCTCTCAAATTTTCCCTCCTTTTTGCCATTTGGTTGTAGGTTAAGATAGGGAGTTGGTGTCTGAGTGGATCGAAGTCACAATAGCTCAAGTGGTAGAGCAGTGGCATATCTAGCCGAAGATCGTGGGTTCGAATCCCGCTCGTGACACTGACTTTTTTATCTCAACTAAAAACCTTAATTAATTGAAAGATGGTCAAGTGGACCATGAAAACTAGTGAATTTTTATAGAAGATTGCACAGTGATTGTAAATTAAAATTAAAACACGCACGATTAAATTACATTATAATCGTATGATGAAACTGATAGAACAAAAAAACATTCAATCAAAATGTATATACTGCTTATTGGTTTGTATAAGCTCAAATCTACACACACTTATCACTTCTCAACTCCAACAGGATTAAAACTGAAATGGAGAGATAGCAACAAACTATGGAAAGACCATCCGTCACTCATAGCTCCAAGAGACGACATGAACAGAATGTTTGAATTTAACCAAAAATTCCGAATATATCTGGGTACCAAAAAAGAATGGGAAAGAAAGGGAAATAACTCCTTTAAAAATGGCACCATCCTCTGGTACTCAGATGGATCTAGAACACAAGAAGGTACAGGGGCAGGAGTATGTGAACCCGGAGCCAAATACTCAGAACCCATGGGAAAACACACCAATATCTTCCAAGCTGAGATTCACGCAATTGAAAGATGTACCCAATTCAATCTAAGTAAAGGGTACAAAAACAAGAATATGGCTATCATGTCAGATAGCCAAGCAGCCATTAAAGCACTAAACTCAAGTATCATTAGTTCAAGGATGGTGCTGAACTGCAAAACCAAACTAAACATATTAGGTATGCAGAATAAAGTCAGCCTCTGCTGGGTCCCAGGACACATGGGAGTAGAAGGCAAAGAGGAAGCGGACACCCTTGCAAGGAAAGGGGCTGCCACATCGCTGATAGGACCCGAACCCTTCTGTGGCATAGGAACCCACACTATTAACGAATATCTCAGACAGAAGGACAAAAAGAAAATGAGTGAACAATGGAATTCACTCATTGGACATAGACAATCCAAGAATCTTCTAACCAATTTTGGTAAGAAAGAAATCACAGAATGTGTCAAAGGAAGCAGGAACAGACTGCGAATCCTAACAGGACACTGCAGATTAAATGGACACTTAAAGAAAATTGGAACAATCCAAGATGGCACATGCAGATTCTGCAAGGAGGCAGAAGAGACACCAACACATTTACTAACAAACTGTGGAACTACATTAGCCCGCAGGAGGAAATGTTTTGGGATGTACAATGTGACCATAGAAGAGCTTCAACCACTGAAACCGGGCCTTGATGAAATAGGACTCACCGATGTGCTTTAGGCAGAGAACGGGGGATACAATAGCTCTTAAAGTGCGCAGTATACTATACCCTGAAAAATCACATCTACATCTACATCTCAAAGTCTTCTGGCAATTCCAGCTTTTGTAATTCGTAATAAATTATGAGCAGGCATTGAAAATCACCTACCCTGGGTGTTGACAGTCTGGGATCAGACCTTGGTCTTACCTGTCCAGTCGCTGAGGTTGGACTCCAGGGGCTATCACACTCGGCTATATGGCTAGGTCATTTCAGCCCCCAATGCTGTCCATCAGTCTCTCACTCCCAACACATTCACACTCTCACTCATTCTTTCCTGTTTACATTCATTCAGAGGGTGAGTACTCGAAATCCCTCCATCTCCTTTACACATTTTATATAACTAATTATGGGTCAATGAGTCAATATTCCGTTCTTTTACACTACTTATTCATGCTGATAAATGCGTTCACTCTCAATACACACACTAGGCACACAAAACTAACGGGGACCTAGATACGCTGCCATGATCAAGCACATTCTCATATCGGATGGCATTCCTATACATATGTATCTAATAATTGTTTAAAGTTTTAAATTCCTCTGAAGCTGACGAGTCCTCATATTCTAAATCCAGTCAAAACTTCTCATTTAATCAAGTGGTTGGTTAAACCAAAATCATGTTTAACTATGAATCCCAGTGTTTAAGGAATAAGATCTTTGCCCTCTTTTAAGATCTACAAGTGATTTGGCAAAAATTGCATATCTTGAAGCCAAGAAAGCATTGAAAATATTTTTTTTTTAAGTATGTAGAACCTAGGCTAGTCCACAAATCTCTGGATCTTTCTCTACATATGAGCGAATGCTAGTATGGTATGGTATGGTGAAAAAGGAAACTAGGATGCGGGTTTTGCATTCACCAGGCATTGCAGCCTTCTGGCTTATTGTACCGTCCTAGTTCCTTAGTTTAGTGCAATAGACTCAATCCTTCTCCTTAGAAGTATCAGGTCACTGACTGTCGCTGCTGCAATTTGATTCCCTGTGTTTTTTCAGGTTAGGTTAAATCTCCATTGAGCTGTTGCTTCACATTCGAAGATAATATGGGTGGCTGTTTCCTCCTCCTCATTACATAATCTGCAAATGGGATCATTATACAAGCCTATGTTGTGAAGATGTTTTCTCAGATGCCAGTGACCGGTTAGTAGTCCTACCACACTTCTGAGTTTGGCCCTCTCCAGTTGCAGCAGTAATTTTGCCAGTCTTGGTGAAGGTTGTTTCATCACAAGTTTATTATGTCTAGCACCGCTAGAGTTTATCCACTTCTCCTTTTGTTTTGTTTGGATCCATTCTGCGATGGTGGATTCTATATTTGTTTTTGTTATCCCAAGAATAGGTTCGGGGGCCTATGTATGGTCTTGCAGATCCTCCTGGTAATGCTAGTACTAAAAGACACAAAAGCGCAAGGCTGCAACATTCAGACAAGCAATCATACACCTCCTCTTTAAGAGGGCCCAACCAGTTTCGAAATACCGTGGTATTTCTGTTCTCTCCACATCCAAATGACTTAATTTAGGAAATAGGCAGAGGAGGTGAAAGTATGTGGTGTGGAAGTCTGCGCATTAATGTATGCCATTCATAAGTATAAATATATATATAAAAAGTGGAATATTTACTTGTTGTGTGTCTGCTTGAGAAATTTGCGAACCAGAAGTTTAATGTAAGTGACATTCCTTCCGACCTGCATAATTGAATTGTTTTCTTCTGTTTCAGCAAAGTCAAATGGATAAACTTCTTTAGGGCCAACATGTTTTTTGCCGATGATGCCTTATTAAAACAAAAAAAAAAATTATCATTCAATACTTTCATAAAATTTCTATTGTATAAAAAACGTTCAAGCTCAATTACCAGTCGTGATGCCATGTTTGGACAAAACGTCAGGAAAACTTTGGACATGATCGAAAGAGTTAAAGTGGTGAACACCGTGGTGCAAACCATACATTCCATTCTGATGTGTTGGCTGGCCTGTCAAAATTGACGAACGGCTAAATTTTACAAAAGAAGAATAATAACTTGTAGATATTTTTTCAAATAATAAATTAATATATGCGAGATACCTCGGAGAGCAGCTGCTAACAGGGGTGTAAGCGTTGTTAAAAAGCAAACTTTTTTTCGCCAAACTGTCAATATTTGGTGTTTGGACTATCTTATTTAAATATGCTCCTATTTCAAATCCACCATCATCAGCTTAAACAGATTACGCAAATCTTATTTATGCAAATAAATTCAATTATATACCTTGATAATTAAAAAAGGTACGCATTAGAAAATACAAGCCAAATGATGTAAATTATTTAGTTACATTCAAATGTTTCATATGTTAACATGATGATGTAGGTACTGAATAATACATAATATGTAAATGGAATTGGTAAAAGAACTAGTTTAACAGTTAAAAAGTCTTGTTCCCGATCTGAGAAGAGATCCAAGTTTGTATTATGTACTATAAACTATAAAATTGCTTGTACATATTTAACATGAAAAACAATAATTGTTTATTTGTTTGCTTGATCAATCCATAATGTTTCCCCAGAATAAACATGGAATCGACTGAGTATGATGGACAGGCCGTGGTGACACAGGTATACAAAGTGACATCTGGACACAAGAAATTATGCTGGAAGATTGGAGCAAAGCTGTTCTTTGTCATATGACAAAATTGCATACAAAATTATCGTGGCATTGCACTTTTGTTGATGGTGTATAAGAACGCCGTATGACCAGAGGCTGATAAAGTGGGCTGAGAGGGTGATAGTAGACTGTCAGTGTCACTTCAGGCAAGGTTTATTGGAAAAAAAAGCTATGAGCATAATGTGAGCCTGCACTACTTGTTTGTAGATTTTAGACTGGCATACAATTCTGTAAATAGGGCGATAGTGGCAACGGACATAAGAACATTAGGCACATAGCTAATGAGACTGGTACAAACGACCTGGAATGTCATGGGGTTGGCAAACGTCTGGGAACTTTTGAGTGAGTGGTGGCTCATGGGAAACCATTATCACCCATTCTATTTAATTTGGCCCATGAAAAGGCAATAATAGCAATCCGAAAGAACCACAGAGGAACAATCTACAGATTAATTAAGCATATGGTGTATGCATACGAATGGACAGGCCTTACATGAGTTTGAAAAAGAAACAGCAAGTAGCTTGATTATCAGTTTGAATAAAATTAAATATATATATAAAAAAACAAGACTCAAGGAAAAAGGGATGAAGTGCAGATAAACAAACATATATTTGGTCACTGCAAAAATTTAAGTATGTGGGTGTACTGGTGAGAGGACAATGGCATAAATGCTGATATTAAAAAAATAGTGGTTGGCAATAAACGTCTCTTCGTTCTAAGGCTTTGAAATTTTAAAGACAGGCAGGAAAAGTTGTCTATAAAACAATTATAACACCCCATCTAATTATGTATGGAAGCAAGAACGGGGTCTAGAACAAATGTCTATAAGTATATGGGAAAAGGTCATCAGAAAGATATTAAGCCGGATCTGTGAAAATGTAATTCGGCAAATTTGTAAAAATTTAGAACTGAGAGAGTTAAAAAATAAATAAACTGAGATGGCTAGGCCATGTTCAAAGGATTCCAGATACAAAACTGCGGAAGAAGTTGATGGCGGGAAGGCCTGGCTGGACACAATAAAAAAAAGATCAAGGCTGAGGTGGCGAGTTGAGAGTAATTGGATAGAAGAGAGAGGCAGTGGAGGTCAGAAAAAGAGTGACTTTTGATTCTCGAAGTGGCCCAGTTAAAAATAGTTGTAAGGGATTTTATGTTTCTTTGGAATCTGACCCACTCTAAAAGCTTTTTATCAGAACCCAAAGTATTGTTTAAGGTTCCTGTGTCCTTCAGACCTTGCCGTTTTTCTCTTAGGAGTATGAATGTCCTGCAGCCTTTGCACCAACTGAGGGCATTATGCTGCTTCTTCTTCCTGGCAACACCTGCACAGGCTTCTTTCAGCCAATCCAAGTCTATATGCCTTCAGTCTGCAGTATCCAGCCAGTCCTGACACTTCTTAGGTTTAGTAGTTCTGCCGTTAGTTTCTGTGATGGTCCTTTGATGATCTTTTTCACAATGTCTGGAATACAACCTAACTGAACAAAAGACTTCTGGTTCGACGTTCATGGCAATTTGGTACTCTGCAATGTTGAACTTTCCTTGGCTAATTTATCGACATCCTTGTTGCCCCATGTTTAAAATTCCTTACAATAATTTTTAACACGTTATAACAACTAAAATAGACCGGATTACAGGATCATAAAGTGAATAGTTGTTTTCTTATTTGTTTTGTCAGCCTACTTTATTCAATTTTGGATTACTGGTTGGTTACAGCATGAGTTCACCGACAAGCAGACCAACAACCAGAATCAACTACTTGGCAATTGATAAATATCTTAATAGCTGATTGACCACAACCGTGATACACAGCTTAAATTATAAATTTGCTCATCAATAACATCAATGGAAAATTGTCTTTTTAGTAATTGAATAGGATTAGGACTCATGGTTGCAAATCTGTTGGGGTTTCTGGGTTACGTGGAACTGAGGAGTTATGACTTAATTCATTGTCTGGCTTTTTTTTTCCAATTTGGTTTGCCGGAAAAGAGTTCAAAGTCTGACAGACCAAACCAGCAAAAAAAAGGGCAAAATGGTCGGTAACGACCAAATAATCCAATGATAAAGAATAACCATAGATAATAAATGGCAAAGGTATACAGCAAAACAAATGTTTTATTTACCTAAAAGGAAAAGGACGTTTTTTGCATCGATCGAGGCAAGTAAAGAACACAATAAAAACTGTATCGGCCAACGAATTAACATGGTGACAATACAAATATTAAAAGTCAAAGAGGTGAAATTTTAAAAGTAATCCAGCTCCCGTTCTAATAATCCGTTGGACTGTGGTCAACCCAGGGGTCAGTCGCCTTCCCGATAAAGGGTCAAAACCTCAAAACGGCCGTCAAAATCGTCAACCTTTTATTATTCGGTTCAAAATTAACGTTTTAGTGATGAAGATTTAAGTTTACAGAGCTTTTTCAAGTACTTTGTCACCTAACAAATCTGTGGCGGTCAAAGACAATGTTTTTTAAATTATCTTTAACCAGTTGTTTTTAAGCTTTTACTTTTTTTTTAACGGTTGCTTTAAGCTGTCTGAGATGCTGGCCGTTGCACGTGGTAACCTTCAGTGGTTGCGTCTGTGCGTTGTTTCTCCATTTCGTCCTTGTCAGGGCCAGTGTTTGGCCTGTCATTTGTAATAGTTATAACAAAATTCAAAAATTGGTTGAAATGAAAAAGCTAGTGCCACGAGCGGGATTCGAACCCACGACCTTCGGCTGAATACGCAATTACATAAAAATAATAATTACTTGAAAGAAGTAATTTAGATAATCAGACCACTAAACATAATGGGTGTGATAAAAATTGTAAATACCATTACAAGCTAATTTGACGTTTTTATTCCGTTTTTATGTGGGTTTTCAAGAACATTGTAAGTTTTAACTGGAATATCTTGCATTCTACAGTGAAAAGTGCATTCTACGAGTGCAGAGAAACTAAAAAACAAATTTCATTGTTTCAATGTTAAGGCATAGGTTTCTTTCTTTTGACTGGTACTCCCTCTCTTCTCAAACGATTGATCTTTGATCTCCATCAACTTTCTTCCAGGACATCAGCTAGGCTTTCGTCCTCAATATTTGACCTCCCAACACATACCTCTGGTGGGTCCCAAGACATGTGGGAGTGAGTAGATGGAAATGAGAGAGCGGACTACCTACCAAGAAAAAGGGCTCCTATACCCCTGACAGGCCCTGAGCACTTCTGTACTATAGGGAAAGAGTAACTTACCAAAAAAGGCCACATGAAAATAAGGAGACAGTGGAATTCACTCATTGGAAACTAACAATCCAAGAACCTTTTAGTAAACTTTGGAGGGGAAGTAACAACCAAATGCTTCCAAGGTAACAGGAAAAAACTTAGAATCCTCACAGGAGGCATCTGAGGAAGATTTGTATAAGTGCAGATGAAACACCAACACCCCTAATAACAAAACTGTGGCTCTACATTTGCCCGCATGAGGAAGTGTTTTGGGATCACAGAGGAAATTCAACCACTGAAGCCAGGCCTACTAATCAAATACCTTGATGAACTAGGATAAATAGCTCTCTAAGAGCGCAGTATACCATTACACCCTGATTAATACATCTACATCTAAAGAGGTATGTATACAGTAAGGGAAGGATAGGGTAGATTTAAGTCTACTAAAAGAGATGATGTTGCATTTGTTAATGTTCAATATCATATGGTTTTTGATGCACCATGTTCCAGGTTAATTAGTTTAGATTGTAAATAAACATGGTCAGAAAGGATTATGTGGAATATTTTGAATTGTGTGCATATAGGCGAAAGGGAGTCCTTAAGAGCAGTTGCAATATGTTAATGAAGATGTTAAATAGAAAGGGGCCCAAGTGGGATCCTTGGGGGAATCCAGAGGATGCTAAAAAAGAAAAAAGAATAATAGGATTTGTCGGAAACCATGGCGTCATGGAGATAATAAAGAGCTGGGCGAAACCTACGATTATTATCGAATCGTATTAACAAGGGGATGACCAGGTTGGTGGGTCACGGATTTGGACCCAACTTTTTTTGGTTTAGCAAAAAAAAAAAAAAAAATGAGAATTAGAATACTTTTTTTAAAATATTTTTATTTCGGCTTTCTGCTTGCTCAATCAACTATGTGTATATATAATTTGACAGCATTTTTTATGTAGATAGCAATACAAATATAGTAAAAGCTATCACAGTTTACCAGTAACCAAAAAAATCTAAAAACCAAATAATTATCAAGTAAACTATAAAAAAAAATTCATGAAACTAATATGAAATTTCATTCTAACACTTCTAGAGACCCCTAAATATAAATTTTTGTGTAAATTTATGTGAAGGGTGATTGACCCTTGAATTTGTGTGAACCCTTAAAATTTTCTGATTTTTGAGAAGTTGAGAATCTGATTTTTCCCACAAGTCTAATTGCTATGTTCTGCTACGATTTGCTAACAGTGTATAATAATAAAATTGATTATTCATTCACTCACTCATTCAACCTGTGGCCCTCGGAGGATCTGACTCATAGAAGAAGGGTCATCCTCACCTCATAAAGAATAGGCCATGCGAGATTGACACGCAGACAGCTTTTGGGCTTGTTAGAGAGAGGTTGTTCGATAAATTGAAGATTATTAGAATTATTCCTTGACTCCATATAGAGAGTGTGCAAGAATACCACTTGATTTGAGAATTGTTCTTGAGCACCTCAGCGAGTATTTGGGTCCCATGTTCTGATTCTTGGAGGAAACGGGGTTGTTCTGTTGTATATTGTAATAATAGTTGTGTATATGTAGTTTGTGTTGATAGTGAATGTATTTATTAGCGTGAATGTGTGATGTGAGAGGGCTGAAAGAGGAATGTTGAATACCCCATCGACCTTCAATTAAGTTAGTTGTATCAGATGTGTAAAGGGTGATGGAGGAATATTGAGTACTCCATCACCCCAATTGAACGATTAGTACATAAATAGAAGTGAATGTATTTAAGAAGGAACGTGAGCACGAATGGGTTCGAAACTGCATGCGTTGGGTGCTGAATTGAGCTAGCTGTTGACAGAACCTGGAGCCCAAATCCGGTGGCAGTACAGATAAGACTGAGGTCTACTCCCAAACTGCCCACACCCAAGATGGGTGATTATTGAGTCTGACAGCAATTTACTGTAAACTGCAAAAGCTAGAATTGCCAGTGGACTAAAGGAAGTGGATAGGTTCAAATTGGCACATGTTATGTCAAATATGTACATGTGTGGATTTGAGCCTATATAAATCCAAATCAGAATTTAATATCTCTTACAGTCTTGTTTTGTTTCTTATATTGTTTCCTTTATAATTAATTACTTGTTTAAAAACTTATATTAGATATAGTACTCTCATAAAATGGGCACATGTTCCCATATAAAAATAAATAACATAACCTGAATAATTACTAGATGTGTTAAATTGTGACCATGGAGTTTGGTCATTTCTTATCATTTTGGTCTGCTTATCCTTGCTGTTTTCGTCTGTGAGATACAGTTAGACTTCGCCACCTTCAATACTAGTTGAATACAGTTTATTAATAAAAACTTATCTTGGATAATTATTAGTCTTGTGAAATTGTAAGATTTTCTCTTGGTCGAGAAGAACTTGTAGTTATTTCCTATCATTTTGTCTACCTATCTTCGCTGTTTTAATCTGTGATTTTTTGGTGTCATTTTTGCATGTACATGTGTAATTTTTTAACCTAGTTCATTAATAATAACAGCCTGGATAATAAGTAGCCACGATAAATTTTGAGTATTCCCTCTGGGTGTAATAAACATGAAGTATGGTCATTTTAAGAGTACCTCTAAGATAGTTTAGTGATTTACAATAATAACCCCCTTGTAAGAAAAACAGTGAGGTCATGTCTGCCACTCTTTCAGAAAATAACCACCTTAGATCTGGTAAGGTTAACAGCCAAATTCTATTTCTCACAATATCTTTCTATTATTTTTATGTTCCTCTTACTCGATTGTCAGCTACAAACAACACATTACCAGCATATAATAATGTTTTAACTTTAGTGTTGCAAACTCGTCCATTGCCTTCAAGCTCAGAGGAAAGGTCATCAATAAAGAAGGGAAAAAAAAGGATGGGTCTTAAACTGTATCCCTGCCTAACCCCACAAATTATAGAGAAAAAAATCTGAATTTTGCCTCCTTCATTCTAATGCAGGAGCATCTCTGAATAAACTAATTAAGGATGTTAATTACCTTTAAATTACTAATATTAAACCTTTTGGTGATTGTATAAAAATTTTAGATGAATCAAATTGCAAATTGTAAATATATTATCAAATAATTCACTACTTTCGTGGTCCGCTTGACCAATTAATACATAACACTTAATTAAGGATTTTAGTTGAGATGAAAAAAAAGGTAATGGCACGAGAGGGATTCGAACCCACGACCTTCGGCTTGATACGCCGCTGCTCTACCACCTGAGCTATCGTGACCTCGATCCACTCGGACATCAACTCCCCCATCTCAACCCCACCTTGTGAGTTTTCCCTCCTTTTGCCATTTTTCAAATGTGGAGTACCCTATACAGAATCCAGCTTGGTATTCATTTAGAAAGTTTTCATCAGTTATATATAACTGTACGGTGCAAGATGAGGGTTGAAAATTTTTTTCCAATGGCATCTAAACATGAGATGCCTCTATGATTAGAAACATCACCGAGACCCCCTTCTTAAACAGCGGAAAATTACTTACTGAAGAAATTGGTGTGATACTTAAATTGTAAAGGTATGTAGTTCAAAAAAGATAACATTTTGTCACTGAATATAGGTGGAGTGTTTTTGTAAAAATCATAGTTGACTGTCTAGACCAGGAGCTTTCTCATTTCTTAAACTGGACAGCACAGTCAAGGTGAATCTGAAAAAAATTAGTGGTCTAAAGTAAAACATTCAAATTTGGGGCTCAGCAGATTTTAGATCTGGAATTTAAATTTAAATTGAATGTGTTCAGGGTCGACAGGTGCCTTCATCGAACATTCTGAGACCAATTTGTGCCCTGGTAATTTTGCCATTTTCCCCAATGACTGACAGGGCTAATAACTTATTCAGTCCCAAATGGCTCTGAACTTTAATATCGATGAAATAGTTTCCTTTAGTGCTGCCTGGCTGTCATGTTGATGTACCTAGTTGATACAAAAACGAACCTCTGACTTAGAAGATTGTGGCTATTCAGTGAATATGATTTTTTTTTCAATAAAAAATATACAAACCATATTTACTCTTTACAATTTTCAACATTTATTATGAAATATACAGCATGATCACAACCTTACAGCGAGCTTCGACTATAATTATTTACAAAGAATATTGATGTTCATTGCTAATAACATGAATTTTATTACGGACATGCCTTGGAATAATTCAGTTATTTTATTTTTTTAAATTGTTTGGATAGTTTGAACACTCAATCAAATGAATTAGTGGATTGTGTACTTATTTACGCAGCTTGAAAAAATACAATGTAAACTAAAATCTATTTCTTACACCACAATAAATTGCAGAAAAACATCAAAACTGATGAGCCCCTCCTTCTGCTTTTCCTTTAAAAAAAAAAAAATAATAATAATAAAAAATAAATAAAATAAAATAATATTAAAAAAATTATTCACAAATGAAAATTGTCTCTCAAAATAAAAAATAGGACTGAAAGTACACAGAGGGGGTTTCACAAAATAAGAAATTTAATCTCTTTCAAAGTAGAAAAAGCTATTTTATTTTGGTCAGCATTGGACTGATTTTGTTATTTGACTGACAGATATAATGAAAACAGAAAGATTAAGTTTTATGAAAAACAAAATAAAACTTTTTTTTTAATGTTAGCCTTTGGATATACTGAAATAAAACATGATTACGAGGGAAAAAATGTATATTTAACAAATAAAGACAAGTATATGTTTCATCTGCATCGTTGTTAGAATACAGACAAACAATTCAGTCTTGTGTAATGTTAAATACTATTTTTTTACAAAATTAAACAAAAAATACATTTTGAAAGAATTTTAAAGTCAATTTTAATAGATGTTACTTAATATAAGTGGCATTTTATTTTTACAAAGCGAAGTCATATTTATAGCCAGCCCATTACAAAGGAGAAAGACAGGCAAACTTTTTATTTTTTTTTATTTATTATTATTTTTTTTTACAAATCTGTATAAACTTACATTTAAATTTTAGGTCTTTCTTTTGTTGAGGTCTTCTAGGCACTTGAGTTATAAATGCAAAGTTGGTGCTTGGCTCAAGATAAACCTCTTCAAACCTTATCCTATAACAAATGTTTTATAATGTAAACATTTATTATAGCTATTATTTTTGGCAGAACTGGACATAGCAAGTGTTATGAAGGTAGCAATAACGCCTCCTCGTCAAATGATAGTTGACATAATAAAATACTATTCTATTGTTAATATACTAACATGAGCTCAATAATTAATCTGCTAATTAACTCATGCTGACAAATTATGTTTTATTTCATTTATGCACTTTGAAATTTGAGTGTTTTACACTACAAAAAAATTAAAAGGGGTACAAGGTACCAGTAATATATTAAAAATGGTCTAGGTAAATGAAAACTATTTCCACACGGCTTGGCTTTTAACCAGCCATTTTTGTTTAAATATTCAATATGAATAAAAAGTATATTCATTTTTACATCAAATTGCTACATTTGAAACGGCTATAAATATGCAGTTGTGAGAAAAAAAATCTACCGTTTTCAAAATGTAAAAATTATATCAGAAGTCACACATTCAACTGCATCCCAATAAAATAATGAGTCAATAATTATTATACTTTCTTTAATTGAATATTTATAATATCTACATGCTATCATTATATAAAAATATTAAAGACATGCATGAAAAGTTGATTTAATCAAATATAATAAAGACTACGACAAAGTTTGAAGCAGACTTGGACCTACAATACCCGGTATTGACTACTATATACACGTGTCTTGTAATTGAACGGAAATGAAGTCTGATAATGATACACATGTCATAAAAAATTAATATTATCAAATGATACATTAATTTCCTGCTAACCCTAAAAAAATCATCCCTCATCAAATACAACATAAACCAAATAAGACAAATTTTGTTATGAATGGCAAGTTAGTATTCTAAATCTAAATACATTTTATATTTTAAAATACCACAGTCTGATAATACTTCATTTTTTTACATGAATGCATAACTATCCATATTTTAACATAAGAAAAACATAATTTATTATATACACACTAAACAAATTGATTAAATGACCCTATAATTTATTAAACATTTAATCAAAAGAATCGATGTTATAATCAGTAAAATCCAGGATTTCATTAATATAACCAGTACAACCGTAATTTTTAAAATTTACGAAAAAGGCAATTTTCTTCAAAGTTCATTAAATTATGAAAATTGCTTATCTATTCGTATCAAAAGTAAATTATTAAATGCTAAATAATAGTTACACTTTTGCAATCCACGAACTCACAATACAAAAAAGAAATGTGATAATTACTTACACGTACGTATATTGCTGAGGTAGACAATTTTTTCTTTCGTGTTAATTTTTTTTTAAGTGTGATTAATTTTTCACTACATTACAGTTGAATTGGTTTCCTAAAATTGCCAACCTACGTCTTTCAAATTTCCTTTATACAGATACTTCCAATAACAAGTATAACTACCAACTTTGGACTTTTGAAAATTCACTCAATTTATAATTATTTAAAATTTTCAAGTGAAATTTCTAAAGACAGGAGGTTACAATGTATTAATAAATGAAAAAGTCTTTATTGGAAGAACGAGTGGCCGTTTGTTCAATCAGTACGACCAACAGTAAAAAGCTCATAATTTTTAATAACCTGAAATATAGATTACTCCGAGTTCAATCTAATTTACAAAATCATTCTTTCATCACTCTTCTTTTTTTCATTATTTTATTTATACAATTTGTATATTTATTTTTAAATTTCAGTTATTACAGATTTTTATGTGCACATTCAAGTGTGGGGTATAAGTGCTTTACACATGATACAGAGCAGGAGAGAATAGCATTGTAAAATGCCTAATAAATATAAAATAAAAATTTTAAAGACAACTTTGAACAATGATATTTCAATAAATAAATTAAACCGCTGGAAAAATGTTAACCAAAACTGAACAGATTTACAAACCCATGTTAAGTGATTCAATTTTCGTTCAGCTGTCATTATTCCATCGTTACAGCACTGAATTATATAATCATGATATAAAAAAAAATTTAATATAATAAGAATTTTAAAAAAATCATATTTAATAAAATAACAACAAGCAAGCAAAAAAAAAAAATTACTTTGAGCAATATCATACTCCTACATAGTCATGTTAATGATTTGTACATAACAAACTGATTATATCATTAAGAACTTCTTGAATCTGTTGCCAAATCGATACTTCTTGCATCCATGCTTGTGTCCGTCTGACTTTCCTCTGAAGTACTACTGGAAGCATCTGATGATTTCTTTTTCTTAGGTTTGTACTCAGTTATTATTACAGTGACATTATTCACAGTGATTTCTCGAGTTTGAGCAGAACTTCGGTCAATATTTTTCAGCCTCGGTCTAAAAAACAAAAATTTTGATAATAAATGCTAAAATAGCATATTTTATATTAAGTGTTAATTAAAAAACACTTTACTACTGGAAATGATTTTTTTTTATATGCATTTTATAATTTTACAGAAGTCATCACCATTTTGGCTGGAAAAACAAACTATTTTTGCATGCCCATTTTTGAATCATTGATTTCATTTTAATGGAAGTGCGCATGTGGGTAGGGTTATGTAGAATTAGGGTTAGCATAGGTGAAGAATGGTTAAGCTAGTTTAGGGAGAGTTAGGGTTAGAATATAATAGGAATAAGTTAGGTTAGGTAGAGTTAGGGTTATATATGTTGAGGAGTGGTAAGGTTACGATAGATAGAGTTAGTGGTAGGATGTTACGAAAGGTTAGATTAGGTTAGGTAGAGTTAAGGTTAGAATATGTAGGAATGGTTAGGTTAGGTAGAGTTTGGGTTGGAATGGTTAGGTTAAGTACAGTGAAGGTTAGAATCTGTTAGAATGGTTAAGTTACGTAGAATTACAGATAGCATAGGTGAAGAATGGTTAGGCTAGTTTAGAGAGAGTTAGGGTTATAATATGTTAAGGAATGGTAAGGTTCTGATAAGTAGAATTAATGTTAGGTTGTTACGAAAGGTTAGGTAAAGGTAGGGTTAGAATATGATAGGAAGAGTTAGAGTTAGAATGTTAGGAAAGGTTAGATTACGTTAGGTAGAGTTAGGAGAGAATACGTTAGGTTGTTTGGTGTAGGAAAGTTTCTGTATTTATAAAATTTTTCAATTTTTTTAAAAATATTTGCAGTCACATTAACTCACTGCGATACACAAACCCACGCCATGAAGATGGCGAAAAGCTGAACTTCTTCTGACAAACCAAAACAATGAGGTTGAAGCAGGTTAATCACATTGCAGACCTCAAGAAAAAATGTCACAATGTATCATCATTGATACTGATTGTACTTACGGATGCCATGTCTTCTTGCTTGATTTATCATGGGATATCCTTCGTTTAAGAGTTTTATCCTTGATGCCATCTCTTTTCACAGGTTTCAGTGACGTTGTTGTGTACTGAGGTACTGCTTGTTGAGCAACCAACTGTGAATTAATTCGCGGTTTTCTGGAATTTAAAAATGAGATGAGTTTGACTTAAATGATATTAGTTTCCATTTGAATTTATTTTAAGTTTTAAAAATGTTTTGCCCCTGGGTTTGTGTTCTTTTACTTAGTCGTGTCCTTTTGTCCATGAATGGTGGAAGGGTTAAATAACGATAATATCTATGCCTGTAAGCATCTTTCATGTAAAATCATCGTTTGTGACAGTTATTGTATTCTTCATTTTGTTTTTCTATTGTGTGCCGTTTTGATTAAAAATGATGTGTGTTTCCTCATGTTGAATGTGTTTTTGTTTATTTTTAAGACCAATTGTCATCCTTCTTTGTACATCATGGTGGAATTTGCAACTTGTCTGTATTGTTGAGTATAAACATCTATCCCCCCCCCCCGATTCTAGCAACCAAATGACCAACCATTGATTTTGTTTCTAATAAAAACAATGGATATAAACTAATACCTGGTTGAGGTTCCTTTCCTTATGTCACACATGAGGCATTTAAAAGCTTCAGCAGTATTTCTATAAGTACACACACTGCAGTCCCAATAATTATCTTCTAACACTTTTGCTTGCCGTTTAGTTCTTCTAGAAAAAAAATCATGGCAGTTTGGAAGCCAAAACATTCATGTATTTAAATTTAAAAAAATTAAAAAATGAATGTATTGTATGGCGACAGAGTTGATTTCATATAATAATTTAAAACTAATGTAGAATGCACAAATCAATCATCAGACCATTTTTTGTTATTTAATCAATAATACTTTTTCTTTCACAAGTAGAAAACAATATATTAAGTACACACTTTCTTTCTCATTCTCAATTTAACTAATTTAATCAATTTAATACGTTAATTTTGCATAATATAAACAAGTCTACATGACTCAGCCTTTAATGGATTGTCTGGGGATCTTTTTAAGAACAACTGCTCTATGACAAGCTTTCGGCACTTTTTATGGCCGTCCTCGGGGTTCATCAAAGGACACACTGTTACAATAATTTTTAAACCCATTTATGGCTGAGCGTAGATCAAAAAATGTTAACCGTTTCAAAAAAAATTTCAGTAATTATACACTCCAATAATACTATGTCAATCTTTTCAATTATAATTTATGTTAAAAAATACTTATTTGAATAAAATTATAAATAAAACAGAATCTTACTTATCCATGATGTCAAGGTTCCAAACCATCACGACGGAGACTTCAAGCTCTGTAAATTTCACAAAAATACATTAGAAACATTTTACCGAAAACATCTACCAACAATGTAGCACACACAATTGTGCTATTAAAACAAATAAAGTACAGATATACACATACAAAGCCAATAAAAACTGATAAGAAAAAGCCAAATTGATATAGGTTTCAGGTTGAATTAAAAATACACTTTTATTGAAATAATAAAGAAAATAACTTTTGCTATATAAGTTCGTTCATTTATGTGGTACACAACCCCTTTTTTTGCATTTAAACTGTTTAGGCATTAATATCCTTAGGATGATAAAAAAACTAACAAGGAAAAAAACATTTGTTGACAAATGCTCAGCTGACACCTTTCAACTTTTTCTTTCCATCTAAGGGAAATTATATTCATAAAATTAATTAAGGATTTTAGTTGATAAAAAAGTCAATGGCACGAGCGGGATTCGAACCCACGATCTTCGGCTTGATACGCCGCTGCTCTACCACTTGAACTATCGTGACCTCGAATCCCGCTCGTGCCATTGACTTTTATCTCAACTAAAATCCTTAATTAATTTTATGATATTAATTGGTCAAGCGGACCACGAAACTAGTGAATTTAATAAGTTTAAAATGAAGTATCCTTCACTAAAGCTCTCCATGGCCATTTCATTTGTCGCCGAGAATCAAATTGATTACACGACATTTGAAAAATGGCAAAAAGGAGGGAAAATTCAAAAGGTGTTGTTGAGATGGGAGGTTGGTGTCCGAGTGGATCGAGGTCACGATAGCTCAAGTGGTAGAGCAGCGGCGTATTTAGCCGAAGGTCGCGGGTTCGAATCCCGCTCGTGCCATTGACTTTTTTATCTCAACTAAAATCATTAATTAATTGTATGATATTAATTGGTCAAGTGGACCACGAAACTAGTGAATTTAATATACTCATAAAGACGAGTACTGTGATAGGAAGCACACTCCCATTGAAGAATTGATTAAAATTATTTATGACCCAAATGTGATTAGTTATTTAAAATACAAAATTAATTATTGAAATAAAGGTTTTATTGATTACCAAAAATATTGTATTTAAGACATTAAAAAAATCGTTGCAACTATAAAATAATGTAAATCTTAATAGAAAACACTGTAAAAAAATTATGAAAAAACAATTATTACGAATCCTTTTTAAAAAGCTTTGAACTTTTTAAAAAGGATTGAACACCGTACTCACTCCACCATTCATCATTTCTGTTATTATGAATGTTATTGAAATAAAAGAAATGAAACTAAAATAATTCATGAACACTCTATGGTCTTGAAGAAATCAGCAAATTCAGTTGTCACTGCCACGCTTTCAACCTATTTTAATGTCATCATCATCATGGTCTTTAATAATTCCATATTACAAAAAACTTATTTGTACAATTGATTTAACAACTGGAAATGTGACTCCGGTACAGTTTAAAATACTTCACTTAAAAAAAATAATAATAAAAAAATAAATAAATAAATAAAAGGAATGAGAACATATAATTCCTATTACTTAAACCAGTAATAACAGCATTGCCATCTTAAGTTGGCTAATGCTAACGACTTTGCAATATCATAAATTTTATTACTAACTATAATAATTGATTGGTGTAACGTTCTGAACTAAAGCCAAACGGCAAAATTTATTTTCCATTACTCTACCCCATGCTTATGCAAAATAAATATCACCTAACAACAAATTTTTATCCGAAGCAATTAATACCAGCCTTTAATATAATTTTATTATAAAAAACAAATGGCTACATTTAACTAGTCTTAACTAGTTTGGCCTATTAGGCAAGTTTCGGCATATTGCCATCATGAATGATGGAGCAAAATGCCAAAACTTATCTGTCAGACTAGATCAGAAATGGCCAAATTACAAGTTCATCACCCCTGAGACAAAACATTGGATAAATTTCACAATAAAAAAATGTTTCACTAGAACAATACTTAGCAGAAACAAAATATTTATTTATTATTCATAGATAATGTCTGGATAATTATATGATTTTCAATAGTTTATTAAAGATGGTTAATTTAAAACTATATCTAAGATGATTTACTAAAAAGCAAGTTATTACACCGCAAGTAATAAGTGTAAAACGCAAATTCGAGTACAATTTTTGTTTTGGCACATGCAAATGTGAGCTTTTTTTATTTGTTTAAATATACCTGATTTTCTCTCCTAGTTAATAGCCTCGATCGATCAACTTACCTAATGAAGTCTGATTTCTAATCGCCTCAGTCTGCCTCTTCCTGTTCGTTTTGGACGTTCTCAGACCCGTTTCAGCATGTTGCCATTGTCAATTAATGAAAAAATTGAGCGATTTGATAAGACTGCACATTTTAGGAATAAGATAATATGTCTTTCAAAAAATCAATTTTATTAGTTTTTTCTTCAAATTTCATGATATATACGAATTAAAGTGAATGACTTTTTTCTGCATGTTTACAAAACAATATTCACGCTGTGTATTTAACAACAAACTGCAATATCTCTACTACCTAATAGAGTGTCCTTGACCTATGAATCCAACCATCTGATATTACTGAAACTATCTTTTATCTATGGAGGTTTAACATGTTTTTGTCATAAACGGGAGAGAGAAATTTATTTTAATGTATAACACAATTAAAAACTGGTTTTTGTATAGATTCTGTACAGTCATTATTTTAATTCAAGCACTGTAATTTCATTTGATTTATATTTACTTTGAGACTATACATTTTTCTGTACATAAACACTTTTAATTAATTATAGACAAAATTGATTTGTTTGATCAATTTCATACATAATAAAATCTATTTTAATTTGTTCCAATCACCTATAAATTAAGATATCCTAATATAGCATTTGTGTAATGACAAGTAGCATTTCTTTTCATGCTTTTACTTATATCAAGAAATTTTATGATATTTTCATTTCAATTAGTTTAAAAATCTATTGTTTTATTATAAGAAAAACGTTCAAATAATCAGATCATATGCTTTGTCATCTGGACTGACGAGTGTTTGATCATTTTTATTAGACTGACAGCTTGTGATGAAGATGACAAAAAAAACACCGAAATACAGCGAAGCGATAACAGCAAGACTAGGAGGACAAAAGAGGAAAAGGAAAAAATATAGCTAGGTGTTCCTGGGGAATGTTTTTCCCTTCAAACTGTAATGCTAGATACAGGATTGCTGAAAACGAAAAATGTAAAAAAAATGATTTTTGAAATGATGAAGCAAAGAAAAAGTGTTGGAAATATCTGCACAGGCTTGTTTCTACTGCTCCAAAGTCTCTGAAGTCCAAGTTAGTAACAAAGTCTTGGTTTTTCAGAAAAGTTTATCAGTGTTGAGTTTATTCAGTGAACTTTATTAGGGAAATTTTGTGGTTATTATTTCCTTTAACAAAAGGAATAATTAATATTAAAAAATATAAAAAAGATAAATAATTTCCTATTTTCCAGGAGCATTATCTCACTGGGGCCTTAAATGTGCCACTATGAGATAGTGAATGAGAATAGATTGTTTACTCTGTTTTTTTATTTTTTAATAAATACAGTATACAATGTATACAGTTATATTGTAAATCCCCTGTTTTCTCTTTTTATGTCAAATAGTACAGGAAAACATTTTGGCCCAAAAGCAAACAATCAATCTAACAATAGTTATCCAAGAAGCATAAGTTCACCAGATTGCCAGACATAAATAGCAATCCACGGTTTTTTGATGAACATTACATTATATACTCATGTTAAGGATGTTTTCAGAAAAATGCTGAGTACAACATATAATAGCGTTAATAGGAACTCCCCCTAAAAATCTGTTTAAGATGGGCTACTCTATTCTTAGACGCCTTTGTTAAAATGGACCTAACAGAAAGCCGAGCAAAAATTCTGGCTGGCAGTACAAAATCTCCCCCCGAAACACAATATACACAAACTTACGTCAAGGTAATCCCATGCTATCGTCTTTAATACAGCACTAGAAATGGTGATGAGGAAAATAGAAGAGAATCCTAAAGGAACTAGTGAAGTTTGCCAGTTAACAAAAAAAAATATGAGTATGTAGTGGCTTCCCATTAGGGCAGTCCCAGAATAGAGTGGAGATAATAGTATCTTTTCACCAAAATTTTTTTTTATTATTTAGGAACAGCGATCACATCGATGAATAAAATCTCCCAGGTGCAAGGCTGTTTGCAGGAAACAGGTGTTATGCGGCCATACACATACTTAAAAAAAAGACTATATACAGAGAACTGAAGATTAAGGTTTTCAAGTCATTATTGAGACACCTAGTTTGGGTGTAAACACATGGTAAAGAAAAATTTCAAGAAAAGTCTTGGTCAAAATGAATTGAGAAAAGAATGAATGTAGAATTGATGGAGCTTTATAAACAGACTGATTTAGCGGTTGTAATGAAGTCTGGAAGGCTGGAGCATGTAACCAGAATGGAAGGGACAAAAAAAAAAAAAAAATGCAGAGACATCCGTGTGTTGATGATGTCGAGGATGATCTCAAAAAGTTAGGAGTCAGGAGGTGGAAAATGGTAATCAATAATAGAGCAGAGTGCCCTTTGTCAGGGAAACCAAGGGTCTTCATGGCTAAGAACAGAACCACATTTTTGGAAGAATGGAACAAAACTACATCTCAGAAAAAGAAGGGAAAACTTCTAGGAATAAATTGACGGCAGCCATGTGTTTATTAGAATCTAAATGGAGATACAAAAGGAAAATAAAATGCTAAAAAACAAAGAAATAATCTGATTGAGAGTCTAGAAAATATTGTTTAAAGTAAAAATTTAATGTTTTGTGGTTTTGAGATTACAAGTGACAGCAGTTATAAGGTTTGACAGAGAGCATCCGAAAGGACTAAAATCGACAAATGGTCAGAATGAAATTTAAGCTATGCAGTAGTTGCGATTTTGAAGAAAAAAATGACTGTTTAAAAGGGATACACAATACAGAGCTTATAACGCAAGAGTAAAAAATGAAAGCTGTCTGCGTTTATGAAGGAGGTAAAATTACAGAGGTTGAGTTTCAGGGGCTAACAACAGTTAGGCCATTCCAACCCCCAAACACTACCAGTCTCTGTACCATCCCTAAAATATTTTGAGTTGTGACACTTTTCTTGCATACATTGGCTCTCAGTAATTTACGCTGGTTTGTGTACTTTAACGATAATGGTGGTTAATGAATGACTGTAAGTGTATTAATTTTTAGTAACAGACAACATACAAACCTAACAAACGAGCATAAATATCCATGTAGTAATTTTTATTAAAATTATTTTTGACCCAAATGTGTTTTCCTCCTGGAGTCAGGGCTAATTAGTTATTTAAAATACAAAATTAATTATTGAAATAAAGGTTTTATTGATTATCAAAAATATTATAATTAAGAAATGAAAAAAAAATATCGTTGCAACTGTAAAATAATGTAAATCTTAAAAGAAAACACTGTAAAAAAATTTATGAAAAAACAATTATTAAGAATCCTTTTTAAAAAGCTTTGAACCTGTTGATCGAACACCGCACTCACTCCACCATTCATCATTTCTATTATTATAAATGTTATTAAAATAAAAGAACTGAAACTAAAATAATTCATGAACTCTTTATGGTCTTGAAAAAATGAGCAAATTCAGTTGTTACGCCAAGCTTTCAACCTATTTTAATGTCATCATCATGGCCTTTAATAATTCCATATTACAAAAAACATATTTATACGATTGATTTAACAACCGAAAATGTGACTCCGGTACAGTATAAACAATAAATAAATAAAAGGAATGAGAACATATAATTCCTATTACTTAAACCAGTAATAACAGCATTGCCATCTTAAGTTGGCTAATGCTAACGACTTTGCAATATCATAAATTTTATTACTAACTATAATAATTGATTGGTGTAACGTTCTGAACTAAAGCCAAACGGCAAAATTTATTTTCCATTACTCTACCCCATGCTTATGCAAAACAAATTCACATAACAACAAATTTTTATAGGAAGCAATTAATATCAGCCTTTAATATAATTGTTTTATCAAAAATAAATTTGTACATTTAACTAGTTTGGCCTATCAGGCAAGTTTCGGGGGGAAAAAAAAAAAAAAAAAAACTGACACCATGAAACGTGCCACTTTTCCGGATAAATACTCATACCGATGCTTTAAACTCGACTCGATAGAGAACTAAGATATGCCACTTTTCAGGAATGGTGACAGTATATTCCTGCCAATTCTTGAGCAGTGGTACCATGTGCTCCATTTATAAGTGAACAATTCTGTTTACGCAAGAACTGCTGTAGTTGCCACCAGTGTTATGCAGTACCTTTGAGATGTCAACATTTACATCCTAAGATATGAATCCCATTAAGTATGATAATAAAATAAAACTATAACGCTCATACAGCCTTAGCTGAGCTGAAAGTTATGTTAGTTGAGATTCGGGATGAAATTCCTTAAGGAGTGGTTAAATACTTAATTATGAGCATGCTGAGATATGAGATGAGTTTAGAGAGTGCTATAAGAGCAAGAGGATTTAATTCACTCTATCAAAGATTGTTAAGTATGTTTTATAATGTTTCATATTCAAACACAAAATTGATTTTTTGTTTGTTTTGCTTTTGAGAGATAATTTTATTTTCCCCACTAACCAAATCTTTCAATAAACACTTGAATTAAAAAGATATTTGTGTTAATATTACCGAAAAGGCAAGTGTATAAAAAAATATTAAAATTTAATTCTTTTTTTCCTTTTTTTTTTTTTTTGTAGAGCAGTGTATCTGAACTAATTAAAAAAAAAATTATAATGAAATTAGTTTGTTATTATGGAAAATGTTACTTTTATACATTTTTTTAAATCTAACAGAGGCGTACGAAAGGTAAATGACAAGAATCAGATGGAGAGATCTGCTCAATACCATGCTGCGCAATGTCCTGTCAGACACCTTCTAGAAAATCTTAGATTATTCTTTTTATAATCTAAAATTTTCTAGCATTGTATAAAATCATTTTTTTCTCACCTCTTACATGTATTTGTAAAATTTAAACAATGTTTATAAACCCCATGCCCAGAAGATGATCTCAATAAAGATCGAAACTTTGGCACAATAAAGAAAATGTTCTAAAACCTACATCACACCAGACCGCATTTCACGATCTCCGAATAATTATGTGGATAAGGGGAGACCACTTCTTTTTGTCTTTTCTGGGGGTGTTAATACAAGGATGAGGATTTTTTTTCTTTTTGAGGATCAGGGTATTTGAACTAATGAAAAAAAAAAAAATGAAATTAGTTTGTCATTAGGAAAAATGTCCCTTTTAAACATTTTTTAAAATGCAACGAAGGTGTATAAAACATAAATGACAAGAATCAGATGGAGAGATCTGCTCGATACCATGTTGCACAATGTCCTGTCGGATGCCTTCATACAAAAAAGGTATCAAATGACCAAACCTTCTCAAGCAACTCAAAATCGGCCGCCTTTCAGTCTCCTCGGTCTGTCCCTACGTTACTTTCGTTTCCTCAATATCTGTCTCTTATACTGATCACTTCCAGTGAACTGAGCCTAAGTGCCCATGGTCAACCTACCCGCACTGAAATGTATTTGCTTGCAGATTATCTCTTTTCAAAATTCCATTTCTATGAATAATGGGAGGCCACTTCTTTTTTCTAAGAGTTGTGTATTTAGTGACTTCATTAATGATTATTTGGAGATCGTGAGATGCGGTCTTGTCTGATGTACCTATGTATGTAATCTCCAAATAATCATTTTCTGAGAGAGTTAATAGAAGGATGAGAGTTTTTTGGGGGGAAAATCATGGAATAATTGTACAAATACAACTTTAGAAATAGTGATTGCATAATTTTGAAAATGAGTTTATTTTAAGATCGGTTGTCAGTTGTCGTGTTTATCACGCCCTAGGCCACTCGTACGATTAAATTCAATAGTTACATATGACAGTGTTTTAATTGGGTTGGGTTGGAATTCGGGCGTCGACGCTTCCTCGGAAGAATAGAGGAGAGGAAAAGTTTTAAATTTTGGAGCGGAAAAGCGAGCAGTTTGATAAGAAAAGCCGATTTTCAATTGAACGGAAAGATTGGAAAAACTGAGGGAAAATCTCTTTTCCACCGATTTGTTTACATGAGTCGGATAAACAAACAAAGGGTGGAACGGAGGCGAGGAGGGAAGAGGCGAAGGCCCGCCCCCGTCCAACACCGCCTTCTCCCCCATTTAAAAAAGAAAATAAAAAAAAGCTGCCTCAAAATTCGAATACCTGTTTGGAGGATTGTTCTTCTCTTCCATCGTCTATCGGCCGCGGTTCGAGGGTGGGAGAGGTTGCAAATCCTCCCAGGTGACGGGAGCCTTCGGCCTCTCAACGGTCCGCCTCCATGGGGCGTCTTTCACTTCCTGGGACCGAGCGGCGCGACTCCGCACACGACGAAACGGCGGGCGGCTCTGGGCTGGGCGACTCACCGACGGCGGCACCACTCCGAACTCGAGACTCGTCTCACGACAGCCGACACTCGGACTGGAGACTGTACACAAACCCGGCCGTAAACAAGTCACGCCTCAGTCGGGCCAACACGACTCGAACATCGGCAGTCGAACGATGACCGGGGGGGGTTCCTCGAAAAACGGCCATTTGTACAAATCAGCATTTTTAACTATTTTTCCGCCCTCAGAAAGATCGCCGAAGAGGATGGAAGAAAAGACGAATTTCACCTCGTCCGGGCCACGCCCCCTCCACATTTTCACCAACCCAATGCTGATGATGCAAAGTCGTACTTCCCAATGCTCCAAAGATTTTTTCACAATTTTCCTTCTATCTAATGTGAACTGTTCAAAAATAAAAATATTGCCAGTTTTGTAGTATTTACTTTCCCAAGCAATTTTATTTTATTTTTATTACAACTTGCATTGAAAATTTAAAACTTCATGTAAAAAAAGTAAAATTCGGGCTAGCAAATCTGTTCAGTTAATTTTACTTAACTTTTTTTCCAACGGTTTAATTTATTTTTTGGAGTATCATTGTTCAAAGTTGTTTTTAAAATTTTCATTTTATTTATTAGGCATTTTACAATGCTACTCTCCCCTACTCTGAATCATGTGTAAAGCACTTATAAACCTCACTTGAATGTGCACAAAAAAATTCGTAATAACAGAAATTTAAAAATAAATATACACCTCTACATAACCTAATCTACCCTTTCGTAAAAACCTAACACTAACTCCATCTATCATAAACTTACCATTCCCTAACGTATTATGACCCTAACTCTACCTAACCTAACTATTCCCAAATAGGAGCCACGATGTCGTACTTACCGTTAAAGGACAACATGCTCCCTTGGCCACCTACTTCCACTTGCCCGCGCATCGCGAAGTTTCTCCTGACTTTCGTATAAATAACCAAATTTTAAGCCGTTGGCCAACGACGTGTTTTCTTGAAATAATATTTTCTAACCCTAACACTCCCTAAACTAGCCTAACCATTCTTCACCTATGCTAACCCTAATTCTACCTAACCTAACCATTCTAACATATTCTAACCTTCACTGTACATAACCTAACCAACCATTCCCACCCAAACTCTACCTAACCTAAACAAACCAAACCATTCCAAACCTATTCTCTCCTAACTCTATCTAACCTAACCATTCCTAAATATTCGAACCCTAACTCTACCTAACCTAATCTAACGTACCGTAACATTCTAACTTTAACTCTACCCATCATGAACTAAACATTCCTAACATATTCTAACCCTACCTCTACCTAACCTAATCTAACCTTTCGTAACATCCTACCACTATATCTATCGTAAACTTACCACTCCCTAATATATATAACCCTAACTCTACCTAACCGAACTATTCCTAATATATTCTAACCCTAACTCTCCCTAAACTAGCCTAACCATTCTTCACCTACGCTAACCCTACCGCATGCGCACTTCCACTAACATGAAATCAATGATCCAAAAATGGGCACACAAAACGCGTTTGTGTATTCAGCCAAAATAGGGAGGACTTCCAAAAAATTATAAAATGCATATAAAAAAATCATTTTCAGTAGTAAAGTGTTTTTTTAAATTAACACTTAGTATAAAATATGTTATTTTAGCATTTATTATCAAAATTTTTGTTTTTTAGACCGAGGCTGAAAAATATTGACCGAAGTTCTGCTCAAACTCGAGAAATCACTGTGAATAATGTCACTGTAATAATAACTGAGTACAAACCTAAGAAAAAGAAATCATCAGATGCTTCCAGTAGTACTTCAGAGGAAAGTCAGACGGACACAAGCATGGATGCAAGAAGTATCGATTTGGCAACAGATTCAAGAAGTTCTTAATGATATAATCAGTTTGTTGTGTACAAATCATTAACATGACTATGTAGGAGTATGATATTGCTCAAAGTAATTTTTTTTTTTTTGCTTGCTTGTTATTTTATTAAATATGATTTTTTTTAAATTCTTATTATATTAAATTTTTTTTTAATCATGATTATATAATTCAGTGCTGTAACGATGGAATAATGACAGCTGAACGAAAATTGAATCACTTAACATGGGTTTGTAAATCTGTTCAGTTTTGGTTAACATTTTTCCAACGGTTTAATTTATTTATTGAAATATCATTGTTCAAAGTTGTCTTTAAAATTTTTATTTTATATTTATTAGGCATTGTACAATGCTATTCGCCCCTGCTCTATATCATGTGTAAAGCACTTCTAACCCTCACTTGAATAAAAATCTGTAATAAAAAATATACAAACTGTATAAATAAAATAAATGAAAAAAGAAGTGATGAAAGAACGATTTTGTGAAATAGATTGAACTCGGAGTAATCTATATTTCTTGCTTGTTATTTTTTTAAATATCATTTTTTAAAATTATTATTATTAAATTACATTTTTTATGATGATTATATAATTCAGTACTCTAATGATGAAAATTGAATCACTTAACATGGGCTTGTAAATCAATTCAGTTAATTTTACTTAACTTTTTTTTTGCAACGGTTTAATTTATTTATTGGAATATCATTGCTCAAAGTTGACTTTAAAATTTTTATTTTATATTTATTAGTCATTTTGCAATGCTATTCGCCCCTGCTCTGTATCGTGTAAAGCACTTATAACCTTACCTTGAATCTGCACATAGATATTTTAATAACTGAAATTTAAAAATATACACCTTTTCAGAGTCGGTAACCAGATCGAGATGCTCAAATGGCTGCAGTTTAAAACAAAATATGCGCGAAAGAAAAGAAAAAGATGGAAAACACGTAGAGGGCCGGCGATGACCTCAGCTGTTTGTTGGCCCATAAACTTCCCACTTATTATTATTACACCTGTCCTAACCTAATATAAACTTTCGTAACAACCTAACACTTACTCTACCTATCAGAACCTTACCATTCCCTAACATATTATAACCCTAACTCTACCTTACCTAACTATTCAAAATAATTTCTAACCCTAACTCTCCCTAAACTAGCCTAACCATTCTTTACATATGCTAACCCTAATTCTACCTAACATATCCTAACCTTCAATATCCCCAATGTAACCGTTCCAACCCAAACTCTACCTAACATAAACAAACCATTCCATTTCCACCTATTCTCTCCTGTACTTTTTTATAAAAGTACTATATCTAATATGAATTTTTAAATAAGTAATTAATTATAAAGGAAATAATATTTAAAACAAAACAAGACAGTAAGAGATATTAAATCCTGAATTGGAATTGGATTTATATACAAGTGCCAATTTGAACCTATCCACTTCCTTTAGTCCAGTGGCAATTCCAGGTTTTGCTATTTACCACAAATTGCTGGCAAACTCTAGAATTACCCACCCCAGGTGTTGGCAGTCCAGGGACAAACTTCAGTCTTATCTGTCCAGCCACAGAGATTGGGCTCTAGAGAGTGAGGAGTGTCAACAACTAGATCAATTCAGCAAGCAGTCCCAAACCATAGTTATGTTCATTCTTAAATACGTTCAATCCTATTTACATAACATTTATTCAATTAGGGTGATGGAGTACTCCATATTCATCCATCTCCCTTTACATATATCATTCAATTAACCTAATTGAGGTCTGATGGGGTACTCGATGTTCCACCATCTACCTTCTCATATCACACATTCATACTAATAAATCCATTTACTCTCAACACAACCTTTACCCATGACACAACTGACCTAATTTGAGGGTCAATGGGGTACTTGATATGTTGTCATCGGCCCTCTCACATCACACATTTGCGCTAGTAAACACATTTACTCTAAACACAAACTAGGTAGTTAAATTCTGATAGTAATATGAATTACAATTATAATTTAGGCATTAGTATTTTTTTACACAGTTCGTAATTAGAAATGTTGTTCAGCTCAACATCTTCAGGAAGTCTATTAGCTAGGACCATCATCCTGTTTATAGGTGAGTAATAGATGTAATTGGTATGCGAGTATGGTTAATCTGGTCATGGTTCTTCTTTCACTTAATGAAACTAAATTGATGGCTCCAATATTATGCGGTTTCCAGTGGAGGGCTTTAAAAATTTGTTTTGTAACTTTTCAATCATGGTAATATTTCAATTTATATTGAGAGACAAGATACACCCGGCCGACCCGAACAACAGTTCTGGTATATCAGTCACAAAAGTAAAATCACAAGACGATGTATAAAGGAATCATAATTTGTAAGCCCATTTACAGATAGTGTCTATATGGTGAATAAAATATAGTTTAGTATAAATCCAGACACCCAGATCTTTACTGACAGATAACCTTAAAAAAAGATCCTGCAATCAAAATGTGTTTTTAAATTTTTGGTTGTAAGTAATAGTAGCATTTGTCTAAATTTAGTATCATATTATTTTGCTTGCACAAGTGATGCAGAGATTCAGTGAATGTTGGAGAATGGAACAGTCAGTGGTACTGGTAATTGAGAGGAATAGTTTTAGGTCGTCGTGAAACGAGATATCTAACTAGATGCAAGTAGGAAGCCAAATCATTTATGATAACGAGGAATAAGATTGCAAGATTAAGATATTATGTAAAAGTATGCTATAAAAAATCTGTTTTTAATTAAATAAAACAAAACATTGCATAAAAAAAACTTTATTTTAACTCTAACCAAAACAGTAAACGTTGGGCCTTTTCCTTCATAAAGACAACAGCCAGTTGTTTTCAAGTATTTAAAAAACAAAGTCAAAAAACAAGCCCACTAAATTTTTTTAATCATATTTAAATTCAAATGTAAACAAAAACAATGAACAAATTCTTTGGAGGTTCAATCCAAAATATAAACTAAAGTAAATGTGTTTGCATATATGAAAGAATACTATATTATTTAAAATATTTTGGTTGTACAAAAAGTTTCAATTTAGAAAACATGCTGAAATTATTTATATTTAAATATATAAAATGCTAAGTTATTGGTAACATTTTAACACGAGGATTTCTACATATCAGTGAAACTTCTGATTTACCATTTTATTTTTAATATGTATGCTATTTTACGCTAACCTCGCAAATTAAAGAAATAAGTTTGTTTTTGGCATCATATATGTAAATAAAACCAAAAATGTACATCACAATATAGAATCCTTTCCATAAGAAAAAACATCAACAAATATAAAAATATTTTATCACAAAAATAGTCTACATATTTTAAAAACCAATTTCAACCGGTTTTTCAGACAAACTTATATGCTGATGCAAGAATAAAACAAAATAGTAGAAATAAAAAAAAGTAACTAATTGGGTAGAAATTCTTATTGGTTTATTTCACCAGTTGTGCGCATTTGCACGATTAATGGTTAAAATGATTTAAAACCTTTGAAATACTTTCGTTTGCGAACGAATTGGCCTGGTCTTCTTTTTTCTTCGCCTGTCTGGTGGAATCCATTGGTTCCACCACTTGTCCCAGCATCACCGTTAGAACTTACTTCGGGCTGTCCACCTTTTGACATATTATATTTTTGTGGACTTGAAGTTGAATTTTTGATGTTTTCACAAGTATCATTTTTGTCATTATTATCTCCTTGGTTATCACTTTTACTTCCTGTACTGTCTGTGTCATTTTCTACTTCCTCTTCACTTTCATTACTGACATCATCTCGTGATTCTCTTTCACCTTCAGTGCCATTGTGTTTAAAGTCTTCCCCTGAACTTTCATTCTGAGAATCTAATGTTTCCTTTTTATTTGCGTCCTTGTAATCTATTTTGGCCTTTTTAAATGAACCAGGATTGTTTTCATCAGTTCCAATGCTAATAATTTCATGAGAATCATGAATATTTCTCTTCGGAGATACTGACTCTTTTGGGTTGATTCTCTCGAACATGGCGATAAAAAAGCCGTTCGTTAATTCTCTGTCGGGACGCATTTTAATGCAAAATGTTCCACACTTGTATTTTGGATCACCGGTTGAAACGCCATAGTAAAATGAGCTCAAGTTTACGAGAGTAAAGCCGTTTGGAGGTTGTATAAATTCTTCAATCACTTCTTCATCCTCTTCCACTGTGAGAGAACAGGTGGAGTACACAACCCTCCTTGCACTTGGAAAATCAGTCAAAGCACGTCTTAACAATTTACTTTGAAGGTTGTGTAATGAATTTAGGCGCTTCGAATTGTTGGTAGGGCTTTCTTCGTAATCGTAATTTTTCACAATACCTTTTGAAAATTTTAAATAATCAATATGGTGGAAATAAATAATACTTTTATTCCGTTGTAACATACCTGAACCTGAACAAGGAGGATCGAGAATAATGTAACTTATATCATTTTTGTTAAAGCTGCCAAAATTATCGTCGAATGCGTCTTGGTTGAAGCAATGAACGTTGGTTAAATCTAAAGCCTTTTTCAATTTCAATAGATTGGCAAATCTATCTTTAGACCGATCAACACAAATAATATCCCTGAAATAGAATAAATGTATCAGTTTAAAATTATTAACGTCCAAAGTTAATAGGAGAACATCTTAACTCTATTATGTTGTTATTATGTAATTTTTAATTTTTCATTAAAAAAAAACAAAAACAAAAAAAAAACAATTATTTTAAAACTCAATATATTCTGAGACCGATTTCATTTTTTTTTTTTTTTGCTTATTCATGCTTAATACACAAATCCTTACCCCACATTTTGTAAATATGTGGCTAAATGTAATGTTTTATATCCAGGTGCAGCACACATATCAAGGGTCAGAGATCCAGGGTGCGGCGAGAGAAGAGGAGAAACCATACAACTCGACTGAAATAAAGATGATAAACATCAATATAAAGATAAACTGTAATGATATATTAAATAATTACCTTGTCTTGTAATATAAATGATCCATTCAAAACCCATTCAAAATTAAAAAACTTCGTTTTGGGATGGAAAACCAGAAGTGCTGGTACGTGAAAATCCAACATAAACTCCTTTTCTTTCAAGTTCTTTAGTTTTTCATAAAATCCGTTTAATTCTTTAGGAGTTTCTAATTGTAAAAAACCCTTTTCTTTAAGTTGAGACAAAGCTGGTTCTAAATTAGTCTTGAGCAAATTTATTCGTACATAGCGAGGTATGGCTGTAAGGCAAAAAGTGGGCAAATCGCTTAATATATTTATTTTATAAGTACTATTTCAGAGTGAGAACCGAGGCAAGAAACTCCCAAGCGAGTATGTGGCACCATCGGATTCTGCATGACAATTACTATCGGGTTGTCCGGAAAATAATGCAGGATTTTAAGTTTTCATTAAAAAAAATCTATATAAAATATTCTGTTTACGTTTACAGGATTACTCATTTGTATGAATGTCAACACTTATTAATCCTCTTCCAAATGATATTGTTTGTTTACCTCTGTAGCATTCCGCTACTTGGAAATAATTCAGTCATCCTTATAATGTCAAAGCGAGAATTTCGTACGATTTTCTTTTACGAGTTTAAACTCGGCCGAAGCGGAGCCCAAACGGCTAGAAACATTAACCAAGTCTGGGGCGAGGGTTGTGTTAATGAGTGCACTGTGCAAAGGTGGTTTAAAAAATTTCGGGAGGGAGATTTCAGCCTTGAAGATGAAGAAGGTCGTGGAAGGCCTTCCTCTCTTAATGATGATGTTCTGCGATCAGTGGTGGAAGAAAACCCCAAAACAACTGTTCGAGAACTTGCAGAGCAACTCAAAGTCAGTAAAACGACCGTCGCTGACCACCTCAAGGCGATTGGAAAAGTGAAAAAACTCGAAAATTGGGTTCCACACTCATTAAACGATCGCCAAAAAAATCAGCGCTTTGATGTTTGTGCATCACTTCTTTGTTGAAACAAAAATGACCCATTTCTGGCCAGAATTGTTACATGTGACGAAAAGTGGATTCTCTACGATAACACTAGACGTTCTGGACAGTGGCTCGACAAAGGAGAAGCTCCAATACATTTTCCAAAGCCCCCAACTCATCAAAAAAAGGTAATGGTTACGGTATGGTGGGCTTCATTTGGTTTAATACACTACAGCTTCTTAAATCCTGGCGAAACCATCAATGCTGAATCATACTGTAACCAAATTAATACCATGCATCAGAAATTGGCAGTAATGAAGCCCTCTTTGGTCAATCGGAAAGGGCCCATTTTGTTGCATGACAACGCTCGACCACATGTGTCACGTGTAACGTCACAAAAATTATTGGAGCTTGGCTATGAAACTTTGCCTCACCCACCCTACTCTCCGGACCTCTCGCCTACTGACTACCATTTTTTTAGACACCTGGACCACTACTTACAACACATAATATTCAAAAATCAAACGGAACTGGAAAATGCATTTATTGACTTTATCAATTCTAAAAATTCTGAATTCTACTCAGACGGAATTAATAAGTTACCAACACGTTGGGAGAAATGTATTGAGAGTATGGGAAATTATTTTGATTAAAGAACATTGCTTTAAAGTAACTAGTTTCTTTTTTTTTGTTTAATACCAAAATCCTGCATTATTTTCCGGACAACCCAATATTATTTGTAATACAAAATGATATTGCCATTTTATTATTATCTCTCAGAATATGCCATGAGTCTAAATTATGTAATTATTCAAAACCCATGGCAATAAATTTGTAAAATTTTGGTCAGACGTCTTGTACAACTTCAACTCTCAAAATATACACCTTAAAATTAGTAAATATGAAATAAAATTCCTTATTATTTTGGAAAGATGGTAAAAACAAAACATAAATATTAAACCAACATCATTTATGCATTTTTTATTAATAACCCTGGAAGTTTAAGTAGAATAATTTTTAGCCAAATGGATAATAATGTTAAAATTTGTTCTCATGAAAATTTATACGATACAATTTAACTTCACTTTATATAATGCTATTTAGAAACATGTAACATACAAGACTAGTGCTGTTAAAAAAACCCTTGTCATTTGACATTTATATTAAATCTAAGATACCTTTAAGATAACAAAGGAAGGGCATATCAGTCAACGCAGTAACACTTTAAATAACATAATTAAAATCATTGTAAAAACAAATACTAATGAGGAATGTAATACTATCGATAATTTCATGCAACATGCAAGAAAGAATATCAATCATTTTTTCTGCCATCTCTTTCGACCGCCTCTCTCGCTTCTTCTTTCACAAGTTTTATGGCTTTGAAAACATAGCAAAATACGATAACATGGACTGAAAACACTGCTGCAATTACAGAGAGGATATTTTTTGTAAAATCATCAAATGCCGAATACTCCACCACTATCCGTTTTGTGGCGAAAAAGACGCCAAACGGCATGGTAAACATGGCGATGCTATATAGAAATAGGTGACAGAAAGCGGACTCAGATGTTTCCATTGCGGTTCTGAAACAAAACACAAATCTAAACCAACGAATATTGAATTACCTTTGTTTTCCACTTTCATCCCTGAGCCAAGTTCTCTTAGTCGTTTTTTATATTTGTAAACAATTTTTGAGATTTTGTCGGTACATTTAAATGACTTCCGACCCAAAACAAGCTCTACTACCAAGATTCGTGCAAGCCAAATATCATTTTTAGTTAACATTTGAAAAAGACCTGTGTTCTTGATTAAATCATCAATTTCTGCTTTCCGTTTTAAACAGTTCTGTACCAAAAATGAGACACTTGCAACATTCTGAAATTGAAGGTAAAATAATTATTTATTTACTCTCTAGTCATTAGTAAACATGTTAAATGGTCCAAAAGAAGATAACTGACTCAACAAGGATGAAAGGAAAACTTGAAAATAAAATCTGACTGAATCATATTTCTATATACAAATGGTTAACAGGACAACAACATTGTCACAATTTTAAATCTTGAGCCTTCATCGTCTGCTTGTCTACACACACTTAGTTTACACAATATTTTAGTTCAACTTACAATTTAAGATGTCCATGAATTGATATCAATATATTTACCATAGTAAGTAGTTAAATTTTGCACATCTACTTTTTTATTGTTGAAAAAGTGAAATACACTTTTATTAAATAATACTGAAATTTGGAAATGGGGAGACAAAAACTGTGAGTAACAAGCATAAATTGTATACAGATAAATTTTAGATGTAGGTAAAAATAGCTCCAAAATCAAACCTATCATAGACTACTTTCTCATGACTTCTCTCTTTTATCCTTTTTGATTATTTTCTTAAATGATTATTTAAAAAAATATATTTATTGAATATCTGTTGAATTTTTTAAATGTTTATGTATTTCAAAAAATAAATATATATAATTTGTTTATGTTGCTCTTTCTATCATCTTCTTTTTGTGTATATTCAAATCTAGAGGAGGTTCCCTGTCTCTTGATGTTGAAAATGATATTTTGGATGTTGAAAAGGAACATGTTCATATTTGATCCCAAAATCTAACTTAACTTCAAATGTGAGAACAGTGATGCCGAATATCACAAAGACCAAGAGCTCCAAGAGAATCTAAATAAATTGTTCAAATTACAGGAAGAGTTTTTATTACTCCTAACGAAGTAATTTTTACTTGTACAGACCCTAACTCTGTAAATGATGTAACTGACGTTGAAAATTTAGAATTTGGCACTCAAAACGTATCAGAATTAGGAGGAAAAGAAGTTGATGATTCCTTAAATCAGCTACTTCATTCAATTACAAACGATGGTTGGAAGGATAAGATTGGTTTTGCGAATGAACGACAATGCAGCCTGTCTCGTAGAACAACTATCGCTCCCTGGTACACCATACACCATTCCCACTGATAGAATGCTTTGACCAGCAAAGGTTTTACAATATGTACCAGCTAGGCTAATGAGTAGGCCTAAGGAGTAGCTTTCAATCTTCAAATGGAGTTCTAACTGAAGTGGGATACAGCAAAACGAGATATATAAAAAAAGAATTGTATACAAAAAATTTCCAATAATCGATTCTCTTCCAAACGCTGATTTTCCAGGCAAAAAGCCTGAATATTTCTCTGAGTTTTTTTTTACTGATGAACTCTTAAACCACATTTGTCAGCGGTCAAATGTACATAGTGCTCAAAAGAATGGAAGTTCTGTTGTAACTAATAAAACTGACATTAAAGATAGAGGAGGTCAGCAAGCTATTCAGTTATGGAGCATTTTGTCAGAGGTAAGGGAGGTCACATGTTGAGAAAATGTGTCCTGGGCCTTGCCTGCTGTAGGTCGGTCAGTGCTGTTTTTGGGGGAGTGTCTCGGCGTTCTGGGCTCATTGTACCCAGGCAGTGGGGCGATTTGGACTTTTCCAGGAGCATTTAATGCTATGTAAGGTTTTTATCCGCATCTCCCTGATACGCCTGATAAGTGACTGAGTTTCCCACTATATAGTTAAACGATTTTTAAGGTTGTAAGCGTGGAATGGTCTCCTCGATGGTGGTGTTTGGCTCACCTGGAGGGTGGGGGTCTTGGTGGGTTGTAGGGCTCGACGCAGTTAGATGTACTATAGCTAGATACCTCAGAGTAAATTTAAAAAAAGGTTTTTCACATCAACCATGACTTGTATAAATGAGGATACATAATAAATATCTGAATGATGAATTACAAAATGAAAATTTCCAGTTTCCAGGAAGTTTCAATGGTCACGGTAGTAGAAAGCCTAGAATTGTCCATTAGCAACCGAGTACCCCCTACTGCCACCACTGTTTTTTAATTGTAATTTTCACCATTCTTATGCTCTTTGGCACCCTAAAAAACAAAAAACAGAGAACTTTTTTTGCTGAAGAAGATCCTTTTCCATCTTTAAGTTACCTTGCAGGGGAGAGGACTGGATGTCCTGCCCGGTTGGGATGTGGACTGTTCACGGGACCCATGAACAAGAATGGCTAAATGTACAAATGTACCAGGCAAAAAAAAAAGGTTCAGTTTCTGATTATTTTTTGTCCTTAGAACTTGGCACCATTTAATTGTTCTCTTTAAATTTATTGTTCTTAGTAGTTTCATTTTATATTTGTATACTTTTGTAAATAGACATCTTTGTATAGCTTTATCAGGCATGAATTTTTAGGAAATATGTATTCATAATGAATTATTCAAGGGGGAGAGAAGCCCTAGAATAAAGTTATTTTTCATTTGACTTCAACAGCCCTAAGTTAGTTTGAAAAGATTACTTTATGATTTATGTGAACGTCGAAATGGAAAGACAAGCAGACGAAAGAAAAGAAAATTTCTAGTTATTTTACAAATCAGTAACCATTTAAAATATAAATTTTGAGAAAAAGTACTAAGCGAGGGTTAAGTCAGTGAAAATTATTTCTGTCGATAATTGGGTATATTTTCGGTTTATGAAGTCGTAATTAATCATATAACAATACTTTTTTTTTTTTTTTTTTTTTTTAATAGAAAGAGCCATTTTGATAGGATAAATGTTCAAACCAACCTGCTTATCCTTCAGATATTCTCTGTTGTAAAGTTGATATTTCAATCCGAGGCCTTTTTCAACACAGTTTTCGGCGATGATCGCCGCTGAAGTATACATGCTCCTGACTAATAACCGCGCATAACAAAACTACCTCTGAACGGATTATTAGTGGAATTTATCCAAAAACTGAAATCACGTGGTGAAGTTGAAGTCGAGGGTGAAATAGGGACTGGTTCCGGTTCCCGCTGCTTCACTTTTTCAACAGAGCAAACGGAGTTCGACTGCGAATGGGGGACCTCGTGAGAAACGTCAACTGCGAGCCCGGGACGACGGTGACGTCACAATGACGCAATCACCACCAAAATCGGCCAAACAGACCAATTTTGGACACTGGACTCTTGTTTCCCTCCTGTTATCACTGAAGATGGCTAAATGTAATACACTGACAGGCAAAAAATTCCACTCACTTGTAATATAACTGGATTTATATATTTTTATATATTAATCAAAGTTTCACGTTTTTAACGTTTAATAATTGAATATTTGTCCAAAATATGTAAAAAATGTATATTCCTAAAAAAAAATAAATTAAAAACAGACAGATAAAATTGGTTTAATTTTGTTTTAGATTTTTAATTAACATTTCAATATCGTTTATTTCCTCCTCTTGCATTAATTACATCTCGAAAACGCCTCGGCATACTTTCGGCCAGTCTGGAAATGTCTCTTTGCTGTAAGTTAGCCCATTCTACACGAAGAATCCTTTCAAGATCGTGGATTGTATCAGGACGTGATGGACGTGCTCTTTTTCGTCTTTTGAGGTTATCCTATAAATGTTCGATGGGTTTTCAAGTTTGGGGAACGGGCAGGCCAGGCTAAGACCCTGATTTTATGACGTTGATGGTACGTTTGCACTATGCGAGCGACATGTGGACGGGCATTATCGTGCATTAGAATAGGATTGTCGCTGATTCATCGAAGATAGGCAACGCATGATGTCCAAAAATTTCATCCACATAGCGAGTGGCCGTCAAAGACCCTCCACTAACAACAAAACCAACTCTGTGCGACTCTCCATTCAAATTCCCGATCACACCATCACTGTGCTACGTTGAAAAGGTTGGCTCTGGGTAAAATTACAAGCTTCGTACCTTTCATTTCACCTTCTCCACATTCTTTCATACCCATCTGGAGATCGTAGAGCAAATCTACACTCATCTCTAAAAAGTACAGCAGACCAATCGTTCAAAGACCAATGGCCGTGTTCTCGAGCAAATGCGAGACGTGTAACTCTGTGTGTTCTGGTCAATTCTGGTCCTCTCACGGGGCGAAAAGCCATCATTCCATACTGATTCTTCGGGCAGTTCAGAAATTTGGACACTTCGAACTTCCTGGAGCTGATGAATCGCTTGAACAACAGTAAGGTGCCGGTTTCAGAAAATTCTCAAAATCAAAATACGGTCATCCTGTGATTCTGTTACCCAATGGCGCCCAGAATCAGGCCTTCTATGGTAGGACCCAGTTTCTCGAAAAGTCTGGCGGTGTTTTATAAGGAACTCCGATGGCAATAGCCGCATTCCTGATGGAACGTCCGTCATCAATAAGTGCCACACCACGGGCAACATCTTCAGCACTATTTTATTTATAAAAGTATATTTAGAAAAGAAAACAAAATATTAAATTGTTTTTACAAAATAACAAAATAATACTTGGAATGGCATGAACTAGTCATCTGCCAATCTTCAGCACTAAGTGGCATTTTTAACTTTAAAAATTAAAATTAAGAAAACAAAAATGAAAACTAACAGAATTCAAATGAGATTGAAAAAACATTTAAAATTCCGTAAAAATTAAACATTGAAAAATCCTTTATCCTTGTTTTGGATTAAGGATTAAGTGTGTTTACGTCTAATTGATATTCTCACTTTAAAACTTAACATAAACAAATATTTATTGACAAAAACAAGAGGCAAATTGATGGCAGAATTTTCTTTTATCGGGAAAATGAAAACAAAATCAGTTGGGTGGAATTTTTTGCCTGTCAGTGTATAATATAAATATAAGCACACTCACGAGCTTGATAAAAATTAAACTGAGTAGCAAGAGGCAAAAAGTTTATGCCTTCTTTGTTGCTCTTTCCGCGGATTTTGATCATATTCTATTTTTTTTGTGTGCAAACTATCACAATTGGGTATGTCCAACAAAATGGTAAATGTCCTAAGAAGGCTATACGAAAGAACATTAGCTTTTGTCTGGTGTCACTAAGGGCTGAGGAAGATTCTGGACCCTGCCATGGGTGTCTAGTAGGGATATCTTTTAAGCCTATTGTTGTTTTCATTATTTCTGAACGACATTGCTTTGATGGCGGGATCAAAGTGATCAAATTTTTAGCATATGCAGATGATAGTCCTGCTGGCGTTATACAGAAATTCTTTACGAAAAATGAACAATTCCTAAGAGAATAATTGTGATGTCCGGAATCACATGACACTAATTATTTATTTGAAGCACCTCAAGCTTCATTCATATCGTTCTTTGAGTAAACTCTTTTAAAAAATACCAAAAAATCAACTAGTATCTCGAATCCCTGGAACTTCTCAAAATGGCTTTCGAAAATATCGACGCACTTACTTTTAGATTCGTACATAAAGGATGCCTTCTACAACAAAGAAAAAAACCCGCACTGGTTTTTTTTTGATATCGAAAACGTCGTTGATCGTACTTGAGTCTATGATCAATCTCAGTGCCTTACTTTTTGAGTTTTATTGCCAACTTTATGGACAATAGAAGGTACCAGGTTGAAAGGATGTGTGTTCAGTGCGTTCAGCGCTTTACTTCGATTGTTTCCTCTGTGCAAATTCGGTCATATGCGGATGATCTGGAAATATTCTACAACTACCGAAAAGACTTCTTCAACAAATTCAATCTACTCTATCTTCAATAAATAGTTGGCCCTCTAATAGCAATTTCAAAGCCTATGAAACAAAAACGATCGCTTTACTTTCCTCCAGAAGACAACCTTGACAACCTTCTTTTATCCTTAACCTAAAAGTCCACATTGATAATATACGTTACATAGATTATGTGTACGTTCTGTGTTTCTTTGCTTGATCTTTGCTAAGCTCCAGAACTGGAAACGTTATCTAAAAACTATAAAGCAAATTTGTCAATCATCACTAAACCTCTTTCGCCGAAACTTCCATTAGTCTGAGACGCAGAGAAGGCTAGCTTGTTGAGGCTCTACCAAAGTCTGATCCAATCGAAAATTGAATACGGATTACATACACAAAAACACTAAAATTTGTCTATTATATTCAAAACTCAGACCTGAGTATGGCTACTTGGAGCGTGGGGTACTTTAGTCCTGTGAACGGCAATCAAGTTGACACAGGTGAACTCCCATTAAAACATAGACGTCGTCTGCCAGATCTCATCGATTTTACTAAAATCCAATCCATCTCCCCTCATTCTTTTCTTTTCTTTTTTACAAATAATCCTACTCATTTTCCTAACTAGTATATCCCAAAGAAGGATTCTAATGTATATAACAGAATTCACGTCCAAAGTTTCCGAAATCCATAGCGCGGAGTAAGGGTTATACCCGGTATGTGTAATAGCAGCGGGACGACCTCTTGACCTAAAAAACATAATCTCAGACTGTGTGGTTCATAGTAGCATCCCAGAAGATTGATGTTGATTTGAAGAAAAACGCGGACGTCTGCCAGGAGAATGACATCTCCTGTGTCAATCAAAACTTCGACAACTGGCCATTCTGTCACTTCATTTAAGACGGCAGATCGTCATGGAAGACAGAGAACAGCAAGAGACTGAAGAAACAGCCCTGACGAACACCCGATCTACCAAAAAAAAAATCTGAAATCCCCTAGTATCCTCTTATTGTCAAAGGTGACCTCAGCACGAACTCCTCAAGGTAATAATTAATTACGAAGAGACCCTCAAATTAAAACATTTAGAAAATAATACGTACTTCTATCCAAGTAAGTATTTTATTCCTACCCTAACGTAACCTAACCAGTCACCAATCTTTCATAACCTGATCCTACATAACCTAAACTAACCCGTCTCTAATCCTTCCTAATCCTAACCCGAACCTAACCCACCTATTCCCTGTTAACGCAAAATCGAATTTAAGCAATCGCTCAAAGAAGATTTAAAAAAAAGAAACTTTATTGTCAAAACTGTACAGTGTTTAAATGTAAACCGATGTGAGGGGATAAGGCTATCGTACAAGTAAGGCAGGGATATTTGGGGATTTTTTTTTATATTGCAATCAGTAATTATTATTTACAATATGTAATTTGCGGATACATGAACTTATATACAGCTATTTACGTTGAGGGGAGCAAATAATCAATGTTATCGTCCTTCTTCACTTGGTTTATGTTGTTTTCCTGTTTACTTACAAAGGAGGTCGCGGAGCCATTTCCTCTTGAGACGCCTTTTGGTGTTGTAGGGATGGGTTCTATTGGACAGGGCTTGGGCAAGACTATTTGGATGGTGGGAGAGTTTTTTGTGGAACTTGGTAAATTTTTGGGGAATCAATTTTTGGATATAAGGAATTTGAATGTCGTCGTGGGATGTAGCATTTGAGACATAAGAAGGAGCATTTACAATGGATCTGAGGACTTTAGATTGAAAGGATTGGAGACGTTGGATATTGGAAGGTTTAGCGGTTCCCCACAGTTCTATTCCGTATGTCCAAATCGGTTGTAGTAGTATTTTGTAAATTGTAAGTTTGTTTTTTGTCGATAGTTTAGACTATCGTCCTATAAGTCTGTGCAGTAGACCATACCGTCTGTTTAGGTTTTGTCAGTCGTGTATGTTGATTCCACGTTAGTCGTCAGTCTAGGTGGAACCCAAAGTAGTGAACGCAGTCGGATTTGGGGATAGGAATGTTGTTGTAGTATATCGTGATTGGGGTTTGCTTCGGAGTGTAAATGTGACATGGACGCGACATATTTGGGGATTAATGGTTTTATTCTATTTTTAAGAAATGCTGATTAAGATGATGGGCGGGTGTCTGGACCCGCCAGACTTTGCTGTCCTGTTGGTCTGAGGGGCATTTTGTTACTCCATAACTTCGATGACGCGAAAATGGTCATGCAAAAAAATTGTATATCCAGCCCAAAATATACCCGCGTTAGAAATTATTATACTTATCCAGTTCTTGTGTTAGTTTTAGTTTCATACAGATGGTTGAAAAGATTCAATGCTTAAACATTCATCATGTGTGAGATAAGAGATAAGCGCTTTTTATCAAGCTTGTTGGGG